TCCATCATCACAGCCATTCTTATCACATCAACAGTTAATTTTTTGACATTAATTTCTCCACTATGTATATATATGTGTATATGTATATACATATATACTCAACGCCATGCACAACAGCCATTTTACACACACGCATGCACATAAATATATATATATATATATATTACACACATATACATACATATATAATATATGCACAAACATATACATATATGTATGTGATTAGTATCTTGATATATATAGATATAAATACATTATATATATGTTAAAAAATCTGAAAAGCTACTACTAAAAAGTAAAACCCTAAAACGTAAGTGTAAGAGTAAGAAAAGAAGATAAGATTGATGAGATGGTTTTAACCAGGGTTAAAATTGAACCCACGTTTATACTAAATGGTATATATCCAGCTATGGCCCGTTAGAAGAAGGGGCAAGGTGGTGGCGGTTATCTTTTTCTTGAAATTTGTCTTTTCAGGCACCTATACAAATAACCTCACCTTCTTTTGGCTCTCAACACGTGTCTCTTTTCTGCTCCGATATTCTCTCCAACCATTTATGTGAAACTTCTTTCTCACTCAAAAAAATTATTTTCTCACTCTCCTCTCAGAACGTCCAAATCCTAGCAAAGTCAAACTTATTCTCTCTCCCTTTGATCCATCATCACAGCCATTCTTATCACATCAACAGTTAATTTTTTGACATTAATTTCTCCACTATGTATATATATGTGTATATGTATATACATATATACTCAACGCCATGCACAACAGCCATTTTACACACACGCATGCACATAAATATATATATATATATATATATATATATATACATATATATATTACACACATATACATACATATATAATATATGCACAAACATATACATATATGTATGTGATTAATATCTTGATATATATAGATATAAATACATTATATATATGTTAAAAAATCTGAAAAGCTACTACTAAAAAGTAAAACCCTAAAACGTAAGTGTAAGAGTAAGAAAAGAAGATAAGATTGATGAGATGGTTTTAACCAGGGTTAAAATTGAACCCACGTTTATACTAAATGGTATATATCCAGCTATGGCCCGTTAGAAGAAGGGGCAAGGTGGTGGCGGTTATCTTTTTCTTGAAATTTGTCTTTTCAGACACCTATACAAATAACCTCACCTTCTTTTGGCTCTCAACACGTGTCTCTTTTCTGCTCCGATATTCTCTCCAACCATTTATGTGAAACTTCTTTCTCACTCAAAAAAAATATTTTCTCACTCTCCTCTCAGAACGTCCAAATCCTAGCAAAGTCAAACTTATTCTCTCTCCCTTTGATCCATCATCACAGCCATTCTTATCACATCAACAGTTAATTTTTTGACATTAATTTCTCCACTATGTATATATATGTGTATATGTATATACATATATACTCAACGCCATGCACAACAGCCATTTTACACACACGCATGCACATAAATATATATATATATATATATATATATATTACACACATATACATAAATATATAATATATGCACAAACATATACATATATGTATGTTATTAGTATCTTGATATATATAGATATAAATACATTATATATATGTTAAAAAATCTGAAAAGCTACTACTAAAAAGTAAAACCCTAAAACGTAAGTGTAAGAGTAAGAAAAGAAGATAAGATTGATGAGATGGTTTTAACCAGGGTTAAAATTGAACCCATGTTTATAGTAAATGGTATATATCCAGCTATGGCCCGTTAGAAGAAGGGGCAAGGTGGTGGCGGTTATCTTTTTCTTGAAATTTGTCTTTTCAGACACCTATACAAATAACCTCACCTTCTTTTGGCTCTCAACACGTGTCTCTTTTCTGCTCCGATATTCTCTCCAACCATTTATGTGAAACTTCTTTCTCACTCAAAAAAAATATTTTCTCACTCTCCTCTCAGAACGTCCAAATCCTAGCAAAGTCAAACTTATTCTCTCTCCCTTTGATCCATCATCACAGCCATTCTTATCACATCAACAGTTAATTTTTTGACATTAATTTCTCCACTATGTATATATATGTGTATATGTATATACATATATACTCAACGCCATGCACAACAGCCATTTTACACACACGCATGCACATATATATATATATATATATATATATATATTACACACATATACATACATATATAATATATGCACAAACATATACATATATGTATGTGATTAGTATCTTGATATATATAGATATAAATACATTATATATATAGGGTAATATTGGCATTTTCATTTTTAATATATGTATTTACTTTTTTTTTGTTTTTCTTAATGTATATGACTGACAAAATTGACCGTAATACATTGATTTTTTTTATTTTTTTTTGGGTAAGTCAATAAATTCAACCAAAAATACATTGATTTTCTTATTTATGACCTAGTGATATGAATATGTGCGTAGCCAATATTGAACATGCTAGTAATTAACACTAATCATCCTTAATTCTGAAGAGAGAAAAAAATGATTAGTGGTACACAAGATCACTAAAATTAGCCTCCTATCATACAAAACACAAGTATTGGATGCATTTCCTTACAGAATGTTAAATTTGTACCTTAATAACTACATCATATATGTCTCTATATATATATAGATGCCGCACAGTACTCATGCATGCACACGGCTATTACACACGCACACCAGTATTTCACACGCGCCTACTCTTGATCGTACTCATTGCTATATATTGCATGCATGCAGTAATGCACATCATGGTTCGCATTGTATGTGTAATTTTCATATGATTCACGTGATCAAGTTTTTTTTTCAGAGCGCATGCACCTATTAAATTCAAGCTAGGGAGACAGCTACGTAAAGTTGGTCCCACTCATTTGTTTTTATTTGCTCAAACTCTGACGCTCCCCATCAAACTGTGAGGCTCGCCCACTACCTGGGCTACATGGCGCATCCACTTGTAGCTCATTGATTAACAAGAAAAAAAAGTTCCTATATTAAATGCATACCAGCCTGTACTAAACATTATATTTAGAGTAACATATAACAACCATAATAACCTACAGAGAGTTTTGAAAATTAAATTATCAAATTTATTTTATTACCTGTTTAAAATATTCTGAAATAAATAGCTCAAGGATGATAAAAGTATTTAAAGTTGTTTAAAGAGTAGTTGTGGTATTATAAAATAAAGGATGATGTGTTGATGGATTGAGAGACTTTTTTGTCATTTTCTTTATTAAAAAAAAAAGTAAATAAAGTGTAATTAGAGAAACATTTTTTTTTAAATGCTTGAAATTAAGAACATTCTTAATTCTGAAGAGAAATAAATAATTTATTAAGAAATTGAGTTTCAACCAATATCTAGAAATTAATAGTTGTTGAAACAATTTATTAAGAAATTGAGTTTCACTGATTTGCTAGATATTGGTTGATGTTCAGTCTGTATTAAGAAATTTGTTATCTTTATTTTTTATTTTTTCCTAAATGAAGGATTGTATTAAAATTTGTTATCTTTATTGGTTTCTTCATTTGTTGCATGACTGAAAGCACATAATGTCCGGCATGATATCTAATGTAATAGGGAAGAGTCGTGACACCAAACAACTAAGATGGAAGAGTATGACAAGTTCTTTGGTGAGGGAGTCTACAATTGTGCAGGATGTGAGCATGCTTGTTCTCTTTACTTTGTTCAGCATTTTAATCTCATCTTAGTTTTGCTTTTATAGTTAATTACATCCTCTTTTGCTCTCAGGCGGACCCAGATGGAATGAGGATTGAAATTACATGTGCGGCTTGTGGTGGACATCTAGGTCATGTATTAAAGGTGAAGGGTTCCCTACTCCAATGGATGAATGTCATTGTGTTAATAGTTTTTCAGTCAAGTTTCTTCCTGCAGAATCTTCTCCTCAGTAATGCTATCTCCATTCTCTCTGTCTAGAACTTGGTAACGGCCTTGGAATATAGACCTGTACTTCGGGTTTGCGGGTAATTCTAGGTTTTTCACCTTGCTGGTTTGTGTGTGTTCCTTCTTTAATGCCTCCGAGTGCAGCTTATGCCTACCACCAACCTTATTTTTCTTTGTGTTATTTTATAATTGTGAACTTGTCCCACCAAAATTATTTTATGTCTAGCATTGAGGGTTCCTAACCTTTTCCCTTTTTTTTTCTTTTTTTTTTTGTCAATTTTTCTCCTTTTCTTTTCCAAATTTTATGTTCCCCTCATTCCAGGGATCCATACCAACTTCATCTCCTCTATTTCAGTTGTCACTCTCTCTATTTTATTTTCGGTCGTCCTAACCTTTTTTTTTTTTTTTTTTCCATACCAACTTCATCTCCTCTATTTCAGTTGTCACTCTCTCTATTTTATTTTCGGTCGTCCGCAAATTTGATCTATAACCTTTTGAACACTTCCTCTCCAAATTCATCTTTTTTCGACAAAAAAAGGTAACTGAAATTTTATAATGTCTTCTGCTTAAGTTGTGTGAGTAACACAGGCCACAGGTTTCTCAGCTAGCAGACATGAAGGGTTTTCCCTAGAATCGAACACATTGGCATATACTTAAGAAGTCCATCAAGATTAATGGTAGCAACTAATTAGCTCATCTGCGAACTTTAAAAATATTTGCTAAGTGTTTACTTACATAAAACATATTGTTTCCTGCAAAACTTAAAGTTGCTTCTTTCACTTTGAACATATTACATTTCAGCAAGGTATTCTCTTTGAAATACAAATGTATTTTTTTTTAGATTGAACAAGTAGAAGACTCGGCAATCCTAGAGAATAGAATGGGAGCTACGAAATAGAAACTGCTGATATTTCCTGCAGAAAAGATAAAAATTACATCAATACATATATTGTCTTTAGGAACTAGGACCGTGGATGGATAATAGATTGATACCAACACATGGTTAGAAACTTGCCTGTAGTCAGGTTGAAGGTGGTATTTGGGTAATTGGCTCAATGACCAATCTGATTGTGCCCATTGAATCGGAAGCACTCATACATTCCCGCCAGTCCAGGCTATCAAAATCTGATCCTCGCCATCATTATATTTGATCTTGTAACTTCTAGCATTTAACTTCAACCTCTTGGACACTTCCACTTTCAACTCCTCCATTTTTGATGAAAACGGTAGTTTAAATTTTATCATATCAGCTCCAAATGTTGCCTTTATAGTTATTGCCCTTACTTCTTGTGTTGTTATGAGTGGAGTCATGTGAGCAACAGTAGCGACGAGTTTCTCAGCAGGCAACTGAGAACATGGAGGGTCTCGTCTAGAGGGAGAGCCTTTAACCTTATTTCTCTTGCCTCGTTTCCAGCGGTGGATTCCATTCTTTCGGCATATCTGTTTAAACGTAGATCTGCTCACTGCAAAAATAAGAATTCAATAATAAAATAAAAAAAACTCATATAGTTTGTAAGTGCAAAAGAATAATCTATTAATTCTAAAAGAAGAAACTCAAAAATTGAAAATAGTAAAAGAAAGATTAGAAGTGACAATTTCAATTACTGTGTAAGCTTACCATCAAAAATCTGTGCAACATCTTCAAGTTTCTTTCCAAAATGCTTTTTAAGTTCCTCATAAGTAATTGAATTAATTGCCTCGTCTGAACAAGAAACAGGAATGCCATTTGGCTCTGCATTAACAACATTCATTCCATTGTTTGTATCACGAAGTTCGATTATTAGTTGCTGATTTGGTGGATGTGGCTGCTTCGTCTCTTGCCCATTATGCAAGACTTCAAGCTGGGGTGGAGATATAGTACTTTGGCATTGAAAAGTAGCAAGTTCCTGATTCATGCGACCCTCATTTGAACAAGAAACAGGAATGTTATTTTGCTCATCATCAACAAGATTCCATCGGTTGTCGATATCATCAATTTCAACTAGCATCTGTTGATTTGATGAATGTGGTTGCATCATCTCTTGTGCATTATTTAAGACCCCAGGCCTAGATGGAGATAAAGTACTTTGGCATTGAAAAGAAGCAGGCTCCTGATTCATGCGAGGTTTAATAACTTCAATCGGTAATTCCTTCCCGAGTTCTTCTCCAGAAGCAAGCTTAAAGCTTGGGAAATGTTGCTTCATTGTTTCTAATATTGGGCACAAAAAGGTACTTGGGTTTTCACCATATGTGTTTTTAGGATTCAGAAAAAACTCTACTATGTAATCATAATTTTTGGCACAAGTACTTTGCAAGCAAATCAAGAAACAACCTGTTAAGCCAAAAGAGCGTGCAAAGGGCAGGGAGGGGTATTCGGTAATGCTGAATTGAGTTATATCTTTGCAGAAACATGATTTATGTGACTGATATGCTCTCCCAACAACTCCATGCCCCCTTTGAAAATCATTCCAATCATAGAAGAAATCCTCTAGATTATCATCTATAAAATAAGATGCTTCATATTTACAGTGAAAGGCTGGTCCCATACAGCTTACATCAAACGTATCATAGCTATTATCTAAATTGCCATTGAAATGCCCGCACGGAATCCATGTCTTAGCCAAAGGTAAGTCGTGAGTTTTGCACACTACTTCCAACCCTTTTATGGTTTCAGCCCATTGACCATATGTATAGAAGAAATCCTGGTATAGACACTTGGGGATGAGAGAAGAGAGTAGTGAAAACATATAAACTAGCAAATCTCACATTTGGATATTACAGCTCTAACTTACCTTACAAATCAATGCATCACACCAAGAAGTTTTCAGACCGGCAGACTGCAAGAGAAGAGAAGGTGATTAATTTTGGTAAGGTTTAAATTAATGAAAAGGTAAAATCATATTTATCATCTCCAATCGTATCCGATCACCTCAGTCCTCATCAAATTAATTAGAAGAATGTAAGTACAAATTAGGGGTTCAAGAAACCTTGAGCACATGTTTCATAAACAAATAACTCAAAATATTATATTAAATTGCATACCAGCCTGTACCAAACCTTGAGCACATCCACTCGTAGCTCATTGATTAACAAGAAAAAAGTTCCTATATTAAATTGCATACCAGCCTGTACTAAATATTATATTTAGAGTGATAACAACCATAATAACCTACAGAGAGTTTTGAAAATTAAATTAGCAATTTATTTTATTACGTGTTTAAAATATTCTGAAATAAATAGCTCAAGGATGATAAAAACATTTAAAGTTGTTTAAAGTGTTGTTATAATATTATAAAATAAAGGATGATGCATTAATGGATTGAGAGACTTTTTTTGTCATTTTCTTTAATAAAAAAAAAAGTAAATAAAGTGTAATTAGAGAAACGTTTTTTTTAAATGCTTGTAATTAAGAACATTCTTAATTCTGAAGATAAATAAATAAATCAATAAATAAATAATTAAATAAAGGATTAGTGAGGTGTAAGATGACTAAAATTAGCCTCCTATCATACAAAACACAAGTATTGGACACATTCATGTGAGAAGTTCACATGATTTCAATTTTTTTTTTCTTTTTTCCCACACGATTTCAATTACAGTATGTCAAAATGTTACCTTTTTATCTTATAAGACATTTTACACTGCGTCAAATGGGCCAGTTGTGTTGGATTTTGACTGGGTCAAATACTAATTGTGATTTATATTCAATTCGTTTATAACGAATCAAATACTGGTCCGGTTAATATGGATTTGGGTCAACTGTTTTTCACTTATTTTTATTTTTAAATAAAGAAGTAAAATCAAATTTTAATCTGGCCTAATTTCAGCAATTTTTTTTGCAAATAAATTTTATAAAATTTGAAACAAAAAGTCAAGCTATCAAAATTGAGCCGTTTATAAGGCTCTGAGCCATTTACAAAGATCTATTGAAAGTTGAAAAATAACTAGTTTTATAATAAGGGTGGCAAATTATAACACGACACGCGATAAACGGGTTTGTATTGATTTTAAACGAGTTCGGGTTATAAACGGGTTGACACGATTAACCCATTTACTTAACCGTGTCAGATTAGAGCTAAGTGATTCAATCTGTATAACCCGTTTCATTCAACATGTTATAATCGTAAATATGACATGTAATATGTTACATGTTTAAATCCAATTACTATATATAGTTAAGTCATTTAAACATAAACATTGTTTATGTCTTATGATTTTTTTTCTTATTTTGAATATTTGGGTTAATTGTAACAAATTTTTTTATTATTTATTATTTGATTAAATATTAAATGTTTCATAAATAGGTCATTAAATGGGTTAACACGTTTATCCGTTTAATAAACGAATTAGATTAGTGTTGAGAATTCTTAATATAATTATTAAATGAATTAGGTTTAGATTTACTTGTTTAATATAATATTTTTATTTGGAAACGATATAATTATGACCCACGTCCATGATTCGCCACTCCAAATTTATAGGCTCTACTCATTTACAAAAAAAATTTGGTCCGTTACAAGATCCGGTCCGTTTACTAAAGATTATACTCTTCTACAAAGATCCAAATTGAATCTTTAAAGTTGCATCACTGGTTATTCATTTCATCACATACAGGGAGTGAGAGAGTCCTCCAAATATATATATATATATATATATAATAATAAAAAATAGAGAGATATAAGCTAGAGAGAGAAAGGGACCCTCTTTATTCATAGGCTTACCGTGGTAACCCCTAAGAAAGATACTGTAATACTTAGGTCCCTCTTATAGCTGATTTGAATTAATAATATATCAACACATCTTTTTTAATTATTAAATTAGCGACGATGAATTGTTGCTATTAGTTTGACTGTGGGAATGGTGTTCATCTCAGACCTAAATATGTTCAATAAAAAATAAAACTTCTTTGAACCCACCAAACCAAAAAAACAAAGAAACAATATTATGTAATATATTACTAATAATCAACAATAAATAATACACACGAGACGAATTGCTACATATGTCTAGTTTGTTTGGATATAAAATATTTTTTAATTTTTTTAGCATAAGATTGTCGTAAAATATTTAAAAAGAAAATAAAATTTAAAACTTAACATAAATAACTTACGCAACAATTTTAAGCAAATTATTTCATATTTCTCATTTGATGGACTTTGCCCAGGCACGGACCCAATGTGTGGCCAGCGGGGCAACCCACTGATTTTTATTTTTATTTATAGTATTATACGTTTTTTTAAAAAAAATTTGACATATATATACCTTTAAAATTATAATATTGCTCCGGCTTAAATTAGTAAAAAAATTCGGATTAGCCCCCATGTTCCTCCGTCTGTCCTTGAACTCGGCCTCAACCTCAATCTTTGCCAAATACCGAAAAATAAAATTAAAAAAATATATTTTGTATCGAAACAAACAAAAGAAATCTAAATGTACCAACCTTTATCCTAACGTTTAATCGACCATTATGTACAATTAATTTCATTAAGGCTCCGTTTGTTTAAAATATTCTTTTTGGATTTTTTTTTTTTTCAAGTAAAATATTTTTTTAATTTTTACTTTATCGGTGTTTGGCAAAGGTTTACGTTAAGGTTGAGGTCGAGTCCATCGGGCGGGTTATTTTTATTAAATTTTAATATTTTTTTCGTAAATATTTTATGACAATCAAACATCAAAAAATAAAAAAATATATTTTGCGTCCAAACAAACGGAGCCTAAAAAAAAATTTAAAAATGCAATTTAATGGCACTAGCTATAAGGCCTTCTGTGATCTTTGGGATGTAAGAATTAGGTTGGTCTACACCCTACCAAATTAGCATTCGATAAAACTAATAATGTTTCAATAAATTTGTAATTATTTTATATCGTTTTCTGTAATTGTTTTTAATTCCTACAAAGGAGAATTGTCAAACTAGTAACAATCAACACAATTTGTATTTTGTCATCTTTTGTTTTGAAAACTGTTTTTAGTTCCAAAGACAGAAAATGTGGAAATCTGAAAAGTGATTAGAAGTGTTCCAAAACTGAATCAAAAAGGATTTGCTGGAAACAGTGTACTTTTAGGATTAAAGAGATGTGGTGAGAGAATCTTTAGAGAGAGATAGAGTTGGAGGTGAGTAGAATACAGAAATATGGTTTAAACAAGGTTTCCTGATAAATGAATTGAGAATGGGCACTCATTTATTTTATTTAATCCATATTTTAATATAATTTATCAATATTTATTTAAAAAATTTGTATTTTATTAGTTGAGAATACTTAAGCTTGGATCATACCCAAAATTGAGTCTTAAACTTTAGTATCGGTATAAGAATGAAACTGTTGAGACTTTAGAAAGCAATAAATGATTTGAGTAACTCGGATGATGAAAATTTTGTTAAGATTGAGTTGAAGTCCAAATGTGTAAAGTATCTTGTCGAAAATTGATTAATAAGTTATTTTTGTTAAGTTTTAATATATTTTTTTCTTTATTGATATTTTACGACAACCGAACACCAAAAAATATAAATATAAATATTTAAAAATATATATTTTTACATTCAAACAAACAGTATTCTCAATGTTCTATTAAAAAGAGACAACAAAGTTTATTAAGAGAAATGCATGATGACTATCATCGATGGTAGAATGGATTAATTTCTCATATTTGTGCAAAATAATATTTTTTAGAGGATCATCTTGCACTAGTCCGCAAATTAGTCAGGACAAAGCCCTGAACACTCGGGAAAAAAAAATTATATATTTTCTAGGCTACTTAGAGTGGAGCTGTTTGAAATATTCTTTTGTAAGCTCATTTTGGTTGAGTAAGAGTTCATTTTAAAGCTCGGCCCACAGATTGAGGAATAGGCTTGACCCATTGACTCTTAATAGCCAAAGCCCAATTTATGTAAAAATACTGGCCTCATTGGTTAATTGAACTGAGTACAGACTCAAAATGATTCAAGAAAGAAATAGCAATTTAATGGATTTTAGTGGCTGATTTCTCAAGACTTTTTGTCGTTTATCAATCTAAATGAAGTACTATATGACTATAAGCCCTGACACTCAGACACTGTTTGGTAATTACAAATAATTCAAACTCAAGTGGTTATACTTCAGGTTCACATTTAAACCGCAAAATGATTAATTCAATCCGATTCAATTTCTCAAATCAGTTTGGTTACGATTTTATAATTAAGATAATGATTATGATTTTATAATTAAGAGAATCGTGGTTATCTATTCGGCTCACAAATTATAGTCAAAAATCAATTGGAACCAAATCATTATGTTACTTATATATATATATATATATATATATATATATATATATATATAGTTCTCATACTATTATTAAGTTTTTTTTTTTTTTTTTTTCTTTTCCAGGTTGGTACTCATTCACACTTCCTAAGAAATTGTTTGTACTAAAAAACGAGTCAAATCTTAGACATGATACTTTCATGTAGCGGTGCACAAAAATTCGATCAAATCAAAAATTCAAACTGAACCAGATTGAACCAAACAATTTGATTCGATTTGCTTAACGGTTTGGTTCGACTACGGTTTGAGGTCCTTTAGAACGAACTAGATCAAACTGAACTGCTTAGTTATATATATGTTAATTATATATATATATATATATATAAAATATAATATAATATAATTCTATAATCCAAATCACTTAGAAGTTTTGTAGCAATAATCAATCATACGTTCTCCTCTTAAGTGTTATCAATTTATTACAAGATTCTTATTTTCTATTGATTTATAATGGCTGATTTTTTTTTATTTTCTGAATTGTGGTTGAATATTTGTTGTTGAATTAGTAATTTTGAATGTATTAGGTTATTAGCAATTATGAATTTATTTACTTCAGTTCCAGAAGTGACAGAGAAAAATGAATTAAAAGTTCTGAATATATTAGCAGTTCTGAATGTGTTGGTTAATTTGATTTATTATTATACATTTAGATTTTGAAATATGAATACTTCTATAGTAGGAAAATAAAAAGAAAAAAAAGAACCGTGGAACCAAACCGGTTTTTCACGGTTTGGTTTGGTTTGATTCCTTTATTCAAATGGTTCGGTTTAATTCTACATTTTCTAGAACTGTTAGAATCGGTTTGGTTCAAAAAAACTTTCAAACCAAACTGTATACAACCCTACTTTTATGAGACATGAACAGGGATGGCAACAGGGCGCGGGTTTGGGCGAGTGTACTCTCCCCCGCCCCCGCAACTGTTTAAAAAACCCACCCTCGTTTCCGCCCAAAACCACAAAAACAGGGGAACTTTCCACTCCATTCCCGTCCCCGTTTAACATTTTTACCATCGCGGGTACCTACCCCGCCCCGTTTAAGACCATAAATTCTCTACCATTTATTTTTTTTTATCAACTAAAATTATATAATTATTGAAAAGATTCATAAACAAAAAATGGATAATAAATAGTTTAACATAAAATTCAACATTAAAAACATTCTAAATGGTCACACAAGTTATTTGTTCCAGATTTTTAGATTTTGTTTTAAAATAAATTGTCTCAATATATATATTAATGAAATATATATACTAATAAAATAAGGGTATTTAAGTAATTTAACTATCTAAACGGAGCAGGGCGGGGCAGGACGACCTCATCCCGCTCGGGTTTTCATACATCAAACCATCCCCGCTCAGATAAGTTAAACGATCCCCCAAAACTATCAAAAACAGAGAAGGGTAAGTACGCGCGAACCCGGGCAAATTACCATCCCTAGACATGAAGGCCAAATGTATTTGGAATTGAATCAAAAATGAGAATCAGAATGACCATAAAAAATGAGAATGAGAATTGTAACAACTAGGCCTTAGAGTTACTATTATCCATGTAAGTTTACCATAGACCATACCACACCTTACAAAAAATTCCCATATTTGAAGGACTCTAAACCTTTAGCCCCCGTTCCCCATCATCACCGCATCATCTGCTTACATTGTTGTTTTTTTAAGCTTTGTAGTACAAAACATTAAACCGCTAAACTGACCCGATCTGAACCCTATATAGGCCATTATTATAGTTCGAATTGATTCGGTTTAGAAATTGTGATTAGATTGGTTTGGTTTTAATTTTTCCAAAATTGTTGAGATCTAGTTTCAATAATATTATTGTGGCCGTTTTAAAATTTAAAAATGGTAAGGGGTGATGTAAATGTGGCAACTAGAAGCTATGTTTGACCCATGTATATATTGGTTTGGTTAAAATTTGACTCCAAAACTGATTAAAACATAACCCGGCCAAAGGCGGCTCCAAATAAAAAAAAAAAAACCTAATATAATATTGGCATGTGTCAACTACAGTACACCTACAAGCATTTAAACATTCAAATAAAAGCAAAAATATGAATCACAAATGACGCACCCCTCTTGACTCTAAATTTAGGGAAGAAAAGGCTGCTAAGTAACTCTATTCACAAGAAAAACAATTTTCTCTTCCTGTAACAAACCCCATTTGGTGTCATCCCATTCTCGTTTGCATAGAAAATTCCTTAATTTGATGTGTCATTTTTGTATTATCTTGACTTATTGACAAAAGCAATGACATCACTTTATGTTATTATATTCATAAATAATATAAAAATACACACTTTATGTTATTATATTATTAATTAGCCTTTTTATTCTTATAAAACTACATATTATATATAATATATGGGTTTACCGCCATATGTGATTCAAAGCATGTTTTAAAGCACTTAAAGGTGCTGGCCTTTTCATTGCTCTCTAGTTGGATATATAAACAGCACTGGAGGAGGATAAGGACGCTCTTATCTTGTTTTTTTACACCCCAACTAGAATCTCTTTGGCGCACTTTATTCAAATAAATTTATTTTTATATATTTATTTTTAATTAAAAAAGTGTATTTTTCGAAGATGTTCCGTTAGTCACTGGGTATGACCTTACCACACAACATAACCCTTACATTGTGTGATGATCTCACTCACATATTTTCTATTTGATATCTTTCGAATTCAGAAAATATACCATTACTCTCTTTTTCACCAAAAAAATAATTTTGCTTTTATATATTTTTATTACATAATACAAAATTGTATTGGTACAATTGATTGTTTTTACAAGCTATATCATTCATGTAGTGTCATTAAACATAAGTGATCAAGACTTATTATGATCACCTTTTCTTATCTTTTCTTTTTTGTTTTTTTGTTTTTTTTTTTTCCTTTTTTTTTATGGTTTACTTATCAATATACTATCATTTATGGTCTAATAATGTTGAAGGCTTCTACTAATTTAACTACTTGGCCGTGACTATTTGACCGTGACACTGCTGCAAGCCTGCAACCTCTGTGTGTATAACTTTGTGTGTGTGTATATATATTATATAGCTTCTAGAAGAGCCGAGATTGAGTATATTTTTCGCTCTCCTAAATTATCATTATTGTTCTTTAGACAAGCTAACGTTCAGAGAATCTGACTATTTTACTAAAATATTTTATTTTATTGTACAAATTCAAAGGCTTATTGTAAAAAAATCAAAATTTGGAATTTGGAATTTTTTTTAAAAATTACGAGATTCGGAAAGACAAACATTTGCATGTGGCCACATGATACCATCCGGTCGTTTCCACCATAACCGCTTGATTGTCAAGAAAAATCCAATAACAACCGTTTATTTTAAACCATCTTTATACGTACCCAAACGCTTGAGAATCAATCAACAAATCATGCTTATCATAATCAACAAAAACATACTCTACATCTGGATGGTCCGGACCATATAATTTGCCACGTAATTAGGTATATCAATTTTATTTAACTTTTTAATTACATATTAATTTATAATTGATCTTAATCATATATAATTTCGAATCATTTAATAATTTTATGATAATAGACAATCCCCGGCCATTACCACTATTTGTTAAGATTGAAAAAATAGAAAGAAAAAAAATTAATATTTGATATGTCTGAACTTGTTTCAATCCATATCACATACATAATGACAAGTCTATAATAGAAAGAGTCATGAACCTAAAGAATAGGTCAATTATGTAACACATGCCAACATAATCAGACAAATTCAACTTATACAGAGTACTCAACCCAAAACATTGCTTATTAAATTTTATAAGTGAGATACTTAAAAATAAATTTTTTTTTAATTTTTTTTTAAATATTTAATATTCAATGGTTCATTTCACTTACACAGACCTTTTTAATTGATATTCAAATTGAGCATTTAATCGATTCGGAATTAAATGAGAGAATTGGGTTATCAAACTGACAAAGAAAAGAATTTGTGCCAATGGAAACCAAAAAAGAATTATAAACAATTTGATCTAACATCGTTCCGTTTTTTTTTTAGAGCTCATGTATCCGTCTTACAAGACACACTATTCTAGTTAGGAGTGCAATTCAAAAACCAAACTTAAGAACTTGTCTTCTGAATTCCTATGCTTTCGTTACTCATTTTTAATCCAGGTATAATGGCGAGACTGCATGACCCAGTGATAGACTATGAAGTAAAGCTGTGAATGTGTTGTACACACACAAGACCATCTTATAATATAATATATATATATTTACATATAATATGTATATATAAATTGAAGGTACAGTTATTATTGAGTAAGACTTATAGGTATTTCCGTTGATATGTCATATAATATACACGGAGAGAAAGAGAGGGAGGTTCCTGTATTTGACCGGTACATAGCTTCCACATGTAAAAGTTGAAGTTTGAAGTCATCGTCCAACTCAAGACGAGTCAAAACCATCCATCCCTTCCCTTTTAAGCCTTCGCAACATTCATTTTCTCCCATCCCCTTAGCTACCATTCATATATATATATATACAATCACATATATTCTCTGCAAATTATATACATACACAAACTTCAAGTTATATATATATATATGTGCAGTATCTCAGAAGACGAGAAGACAAGAGGAAGAAAAAACAATCAAGAGATCGATGATCATGGGTTTCTTAATCTTCAAAGAAGAGAAAAAAAGACGAAGTGTTCTGAGATTAGTGAAGACTATCTTCTTCTTAATCACCATGCTCATTTCACTACTCCTCTTCTCTGCGCCTGTCCTCCTCGTCATCGCCGACGCACTTCTCCCCTCCGCTCTCCTCTCCGCCTCTCTCTCTCCTCCCACTCCCTCTCTCTCTCTAGCTCAAACTCTCTCCTCCCATCTCACCAATTACGATTTTCGCTATTCCCTCATCGACATCCCTCTAATCTCCATCATCAGATCAGCCATTATACTATGTAAGCATTCCACTGCTTAGTCAATTAATCAAACACTTGATGATCATGTCTAAAATTAAGTTGATTGATTGATTTTTGTTTTATATATATATATATATATATATATATAGGTGTGTATAGTTTTTGTGATGGACCGAGACTATCAAGAGGGCCGTACTTGGGGATTACGACGATGTGCTCTGTTTCGTCGCTGGCGTTTGTATCGTTGAAGGCTTCGTATGTGTTCGGAGGTGGAAGAAGATCAGGTGGGCATGTTGGAGCTATGGAGGTGTCGCTGTTCGTATGTTCACTGGCCCTGGCCATCGCTCACATCGTTGTGGCCTATAGAACAAGTTGCAGAGAGAGAAGAAAGCTTCTTCTTTTCAAAATTGATATTGAAGCTGTAAGTACTCATCAATCTATCTCATTTTCGATTTTTAGGCCCCGTTTGGCATGGTTATGCAGTTTTTGTTTCTGAACGGTTACAATGTTGATTTTTAGAACAAAAAAATGTTTAGTGTAAACTTATTTTATTTTATACAGTACTAAAACACTTTGTGAACAGTGATAAAAAAAAATATCAAAAAAATATTTTTTCTTATTTTGATAATTATTGATGACCCAAAACCACAGCAACCAAAAAAATAAAACATCCTTCCCACCAAAAATAAAATTGCCTAAAACAAAATGCATGCAACAAACACTTAATTTTTTAAGAATAGTTTTTAATTTTTGACCATAGTTTTCAGTTTTTTTCAAAACACTTATATAACAAAAACACTATTTTTATTTTAACCAAAAATAAAATCGCCTAAAACAAAATGCATGCAACGAACACTTAATTTTTTGAGAATAATTTTTAATTTTTGACCATAGTTTTCAGTTTTTAAAAAAAAAAAAAAAAATTTAAAAGTGATAAATACAAATAGCATATATTAATAAATTGGTGGAAGGTGTAAAAAGATTCTTCATAATTTTCATATAAGAAAATTTGGACATCTTGCAAGTTGGGTGGGCCCGCAGCCGTATAGGTAGACCAAGAACATTTCAAGTTGTAACCATCCATTGATTCTCAAGTTGAAGAGAGGATTGAAAAGGAATCCTCTGCCTGCTTCTAGATGGCTTCAGAATACAGTAATACTTATTTAATAACTCTTTTATATCATATCATATTATAAATATTTGGTTTTTGCACCTCAGGTTTGAACGGAGGAAATATGAAATAACATTAAGCAATATGATATTCACACAAACATATTTTCATGGTAGGTTAAACTTTTAACCTCTCACCTAATAATATTAGGAATTAACGATTAAAGGGGAGAGAAAAATTGTGTAAGATTCCAACATGAACTCTCGGATACTGGACAACACAACACATGCTATATTTTTGTATAAACACTTTACCTAACTTTGAACTTTCATACAACCATAATTTGCGGGTCTATAAATGAACATTGGTACAGCTTTTATATATATATATATATGATAGTATAAAAGATGTACTACTAGCTGCATTTTATTTGTCTAGGTCTGTGCACTGTGTACCTTTGAAGTATTGTATCGCCAGTAACATGTGATTTGACTGATTGAGGAGAGCCACCCAATCCCTATTCCTGTCCATGTACCACGTGCCATGTGACTTGGAGCCACGCATTGTTTGTTAGAAAAAAGCAAAACATTTGCCCACAATTTGTCAAACACTTTTGAATCTCTGCTTATATTATTGATCTACCCGATCTTATTATATAATAATACTATAATTATGATAAAGCTTTTACGAAATGTCCAACAATTTCGCGCCATTAATTAAAAAAAAAAGACTATAATAAATAATTTTTACAAGAGGCTTGACATAGTCATCAATTTATTTTATTATTATTATTTAAACCATGATAGTCATCAATTTATTGAAAAGAACTAAATAAATTTAAATATTCAATTTTTTTTTAGCGGTGTTTTAACATGGTGTGGTGTGTGTCATGTGATCAGGTTTCGGCATGCAAGAAAGGGTTTCCTAGGTATCAAAAGATTCTGCAGGAAGAAAGAGTGAAGTTAGAGAAAAATTGAAATCCCAATCCCACATGGGTTCTCCATTATTTTGGCTGACAATACACTCTCTGAGTCATCCAGGTTTCAGGTAATTCTAGTTTCCATACTCTATATATATATATATAAAAGGTTAATCAAACACAAGCAAACATACCTCCACTGAGATTCTAACACCCAACTGGAGGGCTTGTACCAGCTTGGCCATTGTCTATAGTCCATTTGGTTTCTGTGTTTGTCTATTTTGAACCAATTTTCAACATCTGATCCATGTGGATGTCACTTGAATGGGCCATCATTGATTATGACAATTACCTAAACAATACCAGACCAATATGACACACGTTATTAACTTTTAACAGTAATTTTGTTTGTGTTCATTCACATCTCATAACTAACTCTTGTGCTTATAATGTCTGGCTTTTTACAGGTATTATCCAAAGATGATCTCCAACCTGGTGGATTCAGAACTAGAAGTAAACAAGCAGCTATACACCTAAAGAACAACCACTTTGATATAACATGTGGTATTATATAGAGAGAGAGATAGATATAGATATAGATATGGAGATAGAGAGAGAGTTAAACTGTATTTTGTACCTAGTGATGCAGCAGTCATTGATTTATCTCAACCCAAAATGTACAGATTTTTCATTCAGTTTATGAAGCATGAAAGTTATCTTCATAAAACTAGTTGAAGGCATTATTTTTTTATTTCTATGCTAGTATCACAAAGCCAGTGCATTCTCACCGTGATCTCGATTTTCTGAAGACTAAAACAACCATGTTATACAAAGATATGCCATCATTTTCAGATAATTTAAATCTATATGTCCCACTATATAACAAGTTTGATGGGTTCTAAGAAAGTAGAGTACCTAATGTTTAGGGACCACCAGCACTTGTGTCCTACCCAATCCACAGAGGTTTCCATGTTAGGCTTGTCATCAACACGATTATCATAATTGTACAACATATGATTAAAGACACTAAGAAGTGAAAAAGGTTGAAAGAGTGATAACAAACTTCACAGTTAATTGCATATATTGAAACACACTTCAAGGAATACAAATACAATATTACTTAATAACTCTTCACTGAAGAAGTGCCAACCGCACCTGATTCGTCAAACAGTAAATTTGTAACAAGAATTGAGCAGACAATGTGGGTTCAAATTATATCATATGATTGGAAATCAAACTGAACAACTTTTTTAATACACAAAAGCCAAGTAGAACAGTCAGTAGTCTTGAGAAATTTATAATAGCCGACATATATAAAAATGACAAAAACAGTTCATAAGAACTTCAAGTCCCAGTCATTCATGAGAAATATATATAATTAGCCGACACGTATAAAAATGACAAGAACAGTTCATAAGAACTTTAAAGTTCCGTGGGAGAAAACAATCTTACTGTTTATTTTCGCATCTACTAGCGATACTATCAACCAGGTTTCCAAAGCAAAGCCTTTCTCCTGGACAAATGGAGACAAAAGTAGGTCAGTAGAACAAATTTCTGGTTTTGGGAAACCAGAGTGATCTAGCCTCTGTGGATGCAATGATGCCTTTTCCAATAAAATACAGAAACTTATTATAATATTGCTGAAAAAGAAACCTCAAAAGAGATTCTAAATCACCAATACAGTTAATTACAGTTAATCAACTTTATAAATTAAACCATATAGCTATTTGTAAGAAGCAACTTCTCATATAAATTATTCAAACATGCGAAGAACTTCTAGTGTTGTCATTTAAGGTTAGGAACATTTTGTCAAACCTTGTGACAGAAAGAAAAAGACTCAACATTAATATGTGAAGGCAAGTGGCAAAAAAATATCTCATACTAAAAAAAAAATTCCAAAACAACTAACAGAAACCAGAAAATATATTAAATAAATAATTGGGAAACAAAGAAAGCAACAAACCAACATAGAAGCCCCTATACAGATCATACTCATCCAACTGGAGAATACTGGTCCTAAAAGTTAGAAGAAGATATCTGGCATTTCCTAATTCATACATCGAAACTTTATATTTTTAACCAGAAAAATAAAATAAATACATGTGAAACAATGAAAGAGACAAACACACCCCAACCCATATATCTACAGATCATACTTACTCATCCAATTGGAGAATTCTGGACCTAAAAGTTAACGAATACCTGGCATATCCTAATTCGTTCACCAAACTTTATACTTATTTATTGATATCAAAATGAGGTCCCCATTAAAGGTTGTTGATTGGAATATTACAAAACCGTTAAAGAAGATCAGCATCACAACCGGTTGAGACAAAACCATCTAACAGCATAAATCAAGGGCATTTATCTCGAGTCCTGCACTGTAAGCACTTCTATAATGGCTCTAAAGTTAGGTTCAATGCATTGGATCAAACTTTAGAGCTAGCCACTAAAATTACGAGAGAACCAATAAAATTATGAGCTAGCCACTAGCATAAAGGGTCCACTAGGCATGTTTTTGGTTGATATCTGCCTTATATGGGGCACCGTAATGTGATTGCGTCATGCAATAAGAGATCTGTTTCCTTCATTAATGATAAAAGAATGTCATGACCTTCAATCTGGCAGTTTCTCTCCCTTATAAAAAAAATGAATAAATAAAAAGAGACAGAGCTAAATTCAATGGCTTAGAGAATAAACCATTAGTATTTTCCAGGAGTAACACCTAGCAAGAAAATCCCAAAAAAAATATGCAATTACCTTTTCGACAATTATGATACCAAAATCAGAACATTGCACTTGAACATAGCTAAAAGTAGTATATTTCTTTGAACATATTATTAATTTCTAAAGCAGCTCTGCATTCCTCGCAAAAGACCCTTTGAATTCCCAAAATGTGCGAGTACTTCCCTAGTGAGTCATGAGTGTTCCTCGCCATTTCTAGAGAACAACTTTGCCAAATCCCACAAAATAACATGGTATTTTACAAAGCATGTGCCACCCAAGCTCACCATCAAGGAAGTTGGATTTAAATGCTATCATATCAGACTTATATTCTAGGGCCTCTCAGTTCCATTCATGCAATTCCATGCCCTCTCAAAAACACAAGGGGAAGTAGCGCTTCAAACTTATTCCCGCCAACCTCATGTCCCTTTACTGGAACTTGGAACCTGCACCTTCTAGAATTGCAACCCGAACAAGATGGTTGGTGGCCCCTAGAAGTCATTGTAAGATTAGTAGTATTCAAATCTCTTGCCCTATTTCTATTATAATTACATCTGATGAGGCTCTCTTTCTTTGTAAGATAGGGATGGAAATGAGACAGGTTTCAACGGGTTACCCTTAACCCTATGTCCCTACCCACCCCACCCCTACTGGGACGGGTTTGGAGAGTGTTTAATTGGAGATGGGTAGGTACAGGGGAGGGGGAGGGGGGAGAGAAAACCCCACTGGTCAGGGGCGAGGGCAAGGAAGGAGTCTCCCACCCCGTCCCGTTTATATTGTGAAATTCCACTAATACCCTTATATTTCATGCAAGGTATAAAAATAAAGCCTTACACCTATTTTAACTCAAACCCTCACCTTCTAATTTTCTCCCTCTCACTTAAACGATGATCCAACCATCTACCATCGTTTCTCAGTTCATCCCCTCTCTCTCACTCTTCCGCTGTCTCTTACTCTTTCTGGCACTCCCTCTGACCATCTTTGGTCTCTCTCTCCGATGGTGGTGACTCTCACCATAGATGAGTACATCTCTCTCTCTCTCTCTCTCTCTGATGTCTAAATGCAGAACCAAAAACCTACTCCATATGTATATGTATCTGTAATATTAAGAATTAAAAGATTTGGGAATTTTAAATTTGAAAGTCAGGGTTTGGTTGTTAGTAAACCTATCCTGCAGTTTACAGTTTTGGTTCCCCCCACACCCCTCTTTGCTTTTTTTTCCTTCTTATGAATCAGGCTGGGATGGGGCGGTGGCGGGGCTAGAGTTCCTAATCGAGGTCAGGGATGAGAATTCATTTCTTAAATAGTTGACGGTGGTTCCTCTATTAAACGAGGGCGGGAATGGGGAAGGATACCCTCAAAACAAACCTACATTGTTGCTATTCCTAGTTTAACATACAAAATGAGTGGGATACCCCCACAAAAAACGTGCATCGTTGCTGTTCCTAGTTTAACACACAAAATGAGTGGATGCCGCCAAAGGTGTCTAAAGAAAGAAAGGGGGCATTTTCTGGAGATAGAGATAGACACACGCACGCACGCACACAAACAGAGAGAGAGAGAGCTTCTAAGTCTATAGAGAAGAATAATAATAAGATATATGAGTTAACGGAAAGACATTTATGCAGAGAGAAGAGTATTCTTGAAAGGCCTTTATGCATATAGATTTATATATGTATATATATAAATATATACAAGGGTAATTTGAGTAATGTAAAATAAGAGTAAAGGTATGTATGCATTGCTATATAATCAAGATAGTGTGAGGCGGGTGAGAAGCTCTTAAACCTGATCCTGCCTTGAACCCGAATCGGGTTGAAATCACTTAACCCATACCCGCCCCTATTTCAATTAAAGGCTCATACCCATCCCATTTAGGGGTGGGTGGGGGTGGAGACACGACAAATTGCCAACTCTGTTTGTAGATATATCCAATCCCACTGGGAATAGTAACTTTGAAGTATATATAAATAAATAAATAAACTTCCTTTCTGAATTTATTTCTAATTGAAGAATGAACATTTAAATGTGCTGAAAGAGATCCACATCAAATGAAAAAGCATACTGAAAAAGATCAAGAGACAAGGTACCAACAATTTTATCTAAAATAATAAAATTATGTCCGCTGTCAAAACGAGGATTTATTGTTAAATATGAAAGGCATCTGGCTATTAACACTGCAATATTGAAAATAATTTACAAAGCTTGCTTCACGAATGGCAAATAAGTAGTGAGCACAAGATGAAGGTTTTAACACAAGGCTAACTCTAACTTTCTATCTAAAAGAGGTTCGAGATGAGAAATAGTATATGTAAATGTTCATTACAGCATACAAGATTTGTCAATCAGATCTGATCCCACCCATGAATGTCCTTGGATCTGGACAGTTTCCTGAAAACTGAGCCTGTGAGAAATCAAATCCTGGGTTCTGCAAGAAACAAGAATCAACAATGCACATAACTCAGTCAGAGGAAAGGACATCTATAATGGGTAGCTATAATGGTATGAAACATGTTATTGACTGTTATATTAAATTTTTAACTGGACACAGTTGGCATACATTGAGAGCTATTTCCACTAAAACTGACCCTTGTGATGTTGGAAAGCACAAACTACAATTTTAAGGGGCAAAGTGAAATGTAGCATTGAAGAAATGATTTTCAGTCAGGTTCCCCTTAATCTGATGGCTACTTTATTGTAGTAGTAATCTAGTTAATTAGACATTCAGACCCAAAATTTCAATCGTCACAGGGTGCAAAAGCTACTCACGATAAATCGAATAAAAATCTGGTAACAGAAATGTTAAGTAATGATGCCAAAGATGGTGGTGGTCATTAAAAGTATGAGATGCAGATAATTCTTTGAAAAATATGAAAACATCAACCTGTAGCAAATTCTCTGGCATGCTTTTCCTTTTAACCTTCATGCATATCATTTATTTTCATAAAGATCAACTAAAATATAATGCACACTATACATTCCAAAAACATTATGAGGGGTGCAAATGAGCCCCACCAGAAAAGAATGCAAACTTATGGCATGATGATACATATCCTTGCTTGGGTAGGCAACATGTCATGGGCAATTTTAAAGAATAAAGAATAATCTTTGGGCCTGCTTGGTTCAGTTTCTTGAAATTTATTTTTTGTTTTTAGAGAGTAGGAAAAAATAAAACTTTTTTTTTTTGTTAGTTTTGAGGAAAAAGTTTTTTTCTCAATAATGTTGAAGAAAAGAGATTAAGAAAAAATAAATAAATAAATAAAATATATATATATATATATAGGAACTGCTTGATTTAGATTTTTGGATAATTATTTTGTTGTTAACAAATAAAAAATTCGTTTATTTAATAGTTTTCAGCAACTTTAAAGAACAGTCTTTTCTATTCCTTTGAAAACTGTCCTCTAAAATTGGGTCTTTTCTAACTCTAGTTTCAATAAAAAATTTATACTTTATAGTTGACTATAAACCAAATGAATTTTTGAACTATTATTATTGTTACCACTACATTTTTTTTTTGGTTATCTTAGAACAAAATTATGTTTTTAGAGAACTAAACCAAACAAGCCCTTTGTATTTGATAAACAAAGTCACGACTTCCTGAAATGCATAAAATTTTTGTGTTGGAGCTAACAAAAGTTCACATAGGACACTTCCTGAAATGCATAAAACTTGTGCGTTGGAGCTAGCAAAAGTTCCCATAGTAGAACAAAATTTCACCAGCATAAACCCCCATGATTCTCATTCCATTTTCCAAAGCTACAATATCTAATGCTTGCATACATTTCAATTGACACGAGGACCAAATTACTCTAGTGCATCAAACAATTAAAGAATATGTTTCTCGTGACAACCACCTCAATTACTTCCAAAGATTCGATACGATGTGAATATAGGTAACAATATTTTTGAATGCACAACTTACCTACATGTTTAAATACTACAACAACAACCAAGCGTAACTTGGGATTAGCCACATGAATCATATGTTTCCATTCCGCTCTATTTAAGGACATGTTAAATACTAATAGTTATTAAAGATTCTGGATATTGTTATTGGGTTCTTTTTTTCTTTTTCTTTTTTCTTTTTGGTCCAATCAGGGCCCAGGACACCGCAAAAAATAAAATAAAATAAAATAAAATAAAATTGCAAAAGCATAGCTCTAGGCCCAATTACCCCAACATTATTCACACAAGTGAGTCTAGCCAACACCTCATGGGGTCTGGGAAGATTGTTGGGCCTATAGCAAGAAAGACCAAAAAGAAGGTAAATTGGTATGGGTATTTCGTTGGCGGAGCATGTGGTCAATGATGCATTGCCAGAACCCCTCATAAGATTTCTGCATTGCTCGAGCTAGGCGGTAACAGGAAGACCTATCCTCAATTCCTATGAGTATGTAGCAATTGTTTTTTTTTTTTTTGATAAGTAAAAAAATATATTAGAAAAACGTTCAAAAGGGGAACGTGTCCCTAATACAAGAATAAAAAAGGTCTAAGGACCAATGGAATCTAAGAGGTCAAAGAAATCATCAATCGAGGAGCATGCACTTCCTCTTACATAAGAGAACAGAGAACGAAGAATATGAATTTTTAAAGTAGCTAAAGACGATTTTTTTTCCTTCAAATGATCTGTTATTCCTCTCACGCCACAAGCACCACCGCACACAATGTGAAACAATCTTCCAATAATCCCGAGCTTGTTCTTTGACAGGACTCTTTTTCCAAGCGTCAATCAATTGAGAGGAGTGCTTAGGCATTACCCACAAAACGCCAAACAAGCTAAAAATAAAACTCCAACAATCAAATGCCACAGGACAATGCAAAAGAATGTGGTCCACGGATTCACTATCAGTTTTACATAAACAACACCAATTAACAATAATGTTGCCTCTCTTTCTCAAATTGTCCAATGTCAAAATCGTCCCTAATGTGACAGTCAACGAAGAATGCGATTCGAAGAGGAGCTTTAGAGCGCCAGACAGACTTCCAAGGGAACTCAAGACCAACGAAATTGGACAAACAGATGAACATATAGCGGACACCAAACCGACCATGAGCTAAAGTAGCCCACAAAATATCATCACACCCTCTACCAACATCCTTCTATCTATACAACGTATCCAAAAAAACACAAGCTTCCTCCATTTTCCAATCCTGAAAGGGCCGCCTAAACCGCACATCTCACGTAACTCCATTGTTATCAAGTTGATAACAATCAATCACGTAAACATGCTAATTGGCTGCAATACTGTAAAGCCTAGGAAAGGAGTGAGACAACAACTGATCGCCGCACCAAAGGTCCTCCCAAAAACGAACATGTCTGCCATCACGAACTTTGAATCTAATATGTGTGGAGAAAACATCCCAACCATTCCAAATGAATTTCCACACACCAACACCTCCCGTAATAGTGACTGGAAGAGATGACCAGCCCCCACTCTCTTCACCAAAACGACACGAGACAACTCTTCTCCGCTGACGATGGCGTGCCCTTCCAAATCTCCATAACCACTTTCCCAAGAGAGCACGATTAAAAGGAACAAATTTTTGAATGCCTAACCCACCTAACCTCAATGGTTCGCAAACTTGATCCCAATTGACAAGATGATACTTAAACTCCTCTCCCCTTCCACCCCAAAGAAAATCTCTCTGAATTTTTTCAATCCTTTCAGCAACAGAGCATGGAATTTGAAACAAAGATAAAAAAAATAGGTAGGAAGGGATGAGAGAGTACTCTTACCCCCCCCCCGCCCCCGCGGATAGATACTGCTTTTTCCATCCTGCTAATCTTTTCTCATATCTATTAATCACTGGATCCCAATTCCCAACTCAAGTAGAAGAAACTCCCAAAGGCAATCCTAAGTAAGGAAGAGGAAAAGAACCAACTCCACATCTTAAAACAGCAGCTAAGGAGGAAATATCTAGAACATTCCCCACTGGGACAAGCACACTCTTTCCGACATTAATCTTTAGCCCAGAAACCGCTTGGAAGCAAGTGAGAGTGCACCTCAGGTATCTGAGTTGAGAAACTTCAGCATCACAAAATACCGAAGTATCATCAGCAAATAATAAATGGGAAATCTGCATCTGATACTCAACATCTCTGCCAACTCTGAACCCCCTGATGTAACCCAAATCTTCCGCTTTTCTCATTAACCTGCTCAAACCTTCCATGACAATGAGGAAAAGAAAAGAAGATAATGGATCTCCTTGTCGCAGACCACGCGAGCTAGCAAAAAAACCCGCAGGTGAACCATTCACGAGAACAGAAAACATAACTGACGAGATAAAAGTTTCAATCCATTTAATCCACATTTCACCAAACCCCATCCTCTGAAGTAGATACAGAACAAACTTCCAATTGTTACCATTGCTAGTGAACAAATACAACTCTAATTTTTTGGAGTTTGCATGGCACATCGATAACCAACTTAAAACATGTTCAGTTCTTGTGCAAGATATGGTATCTTACAGCTCAGACTGTAAAGTACATGACCTATAACGCTCATGAATAAGTGGTGTCCTGATCTAACAATGAAAATGTTTCTTTCGCATATGCAGGAAAAACAGCGTCATACCAATACTTTTTAAAGACGACACAGTAACTTATCTAAAAAAAAAAAGACGACACACTAGCAAATAACAAATCCTTTTCCATTCTCCATCTGGCATCTACTAGGCATTTCAATATTGGCATACCAAAGCGAGCAGAGTTCAACCATCTCCAGGGGCGAAGCTGGAAGGGGGCCATGGCCCCCCCGAAAAATTTTCAAATTTTTTCTTAGTAGCCCTCAAAAATAATTATGTTATAGATAAACTTAATTTATGGTCCCAAAATTCATCCCCCCCCCCCCCCATCCCCCCCCAATTCCAATTCCTGGCTCCGCCCCTGACCATCTCATAATTTCATCAAACAGATCTGATGCAAGAATCACCAAGACCGAGCCGAGCTAGACCAAGCTTGGAACATGATCTTTATTCAATTGAAATAAGCCCAAACAGCCCAATACTCACCTCGAGTAAGGTTGTATGCACCTTTAGCGCCATAATGCAAGAAACAGATGGCAAAGTGAAAATGGAGCAGTGTGTGTTATCAAAGGCCCAAGGCGCACTTAGGCGCTAGAGGTCCTTTGGAGCCTAGCCCCAAGGCAAGGCACATGGGCCTGAGTGAAGCAAGGCGCACACATGAGTAAAGCGAGGCGCACAATTGGAAAATTAAATTACTATTAAAGCATATTCATATTCCATATTAAAGGCGTAAATGTTGTCAAAGGCGTTACGCCTGTATGAGACTAGACGTGCGCCTTTTACAACACGGAATAATAATGGAGTATATGAGAACCAAAAGAAAACTCGTATATTTTAGTTTCTTAAGAATTCAGAGCATTATAAAGTAATAAGAAAATTTGCCAATACATTATAAGCCCAACAAAAATGTAATGTATTTGTTCCATAAAGTAACCAACACTCATCTCATCAACTAGGCCTAAACCTTAAATATATTATATGAGCATTGAAACTCATAGTTGGTGGTTGTTTATCTAATTGAACATCTTGGTGATTCCTCTCCAAGTAACAGGTGATACCTCCGTTGGTATGCATTATAAATATCCTTCTTAATAATTAACTATTAGAAAGCATGTGTTGCATAAACGGAGTCTTGCCTTCTTAGCACAAGATGTTTAAAACATCCAATTCTTAAGCAGTGTAATCAGTAATGGCTAAACCCATTTTAAAACATAAATATCCGGATGTCTTACTTAAGCCAAAAACATTGTTGGTGACCTATTTGTTGGAGAAAGCCTCGGCTTTAAGTTGCAATAAAGACATTCAAATTCACTATAATGGTGTCTTGAGATCCCATTGAATTTTCTATAGCATTTATTGAGAAAATCCATTACCTAAATTGGGGCCGGTCAACAAAGTGGGGGACTTCAGCTTATCCACGACATGTAATCGTTTAGGGTTTCTTTAACTATCAAATCCACATCATAGCCCTCCCCATTAGATGGTTATTATATTTTCGGATGGCTCCATTCAAGGTAATAGCTTTTAAAACTGAATTGCCACATAAAATGTTAATGGAACGATACGAATCCAAGTGACATCCAAAGTTTCAAACACAACCTAATTGAAATCACATATTGGAACTTGGCAAATAAAATCAATTTGTATGACCCTTCTTTTTTATGTATCTGCATAAAACATCACTAACCAACCTTACACTTCTTTGAGCGAAAGGTAGCACGAGGAACAGATTTGTGCAGTAATCAAGACACAGAAATAAAAAACGCAGCGACTGAAAGAACGGTTCGCATTATCAAATAAAAGAAGAGATTGAAGAGTCACCTCCTCTTGAAATCTCTGAAGCATAAGGCGCTTCTGTTCAATATCCGCCCCATAAGGATCAAGCTGACCCTGACCCTCTATGGGCGAAGACCATGTCTGGCCTATGTCCCTCTTCTGCAGAGTTAGATGCAAAATATCATCCTCTGTCAAATCAAAAACCCCAATTTAACAATCAATCATAAAAACTGTTAACAATAACAATTGCCGCATTTTCTAACACACTCAGTAACAACAACAGATTTATATAACCTATAGTCCAAAATGAAGAATCCATCTTCACAGGGCAAGTGAGTACGTGCTGCAAACCATGAGTGTAAACATAAAATAAGTATTTAACCAATCTAAAGCAAACAATATAGAAATACAAATATAATATTATATACGTAATGATGTGTGTATGTACTGACATTGAGATAAGGAGGGTTGCCTTTAATGCCAACTTCGACGTGTTTAGACTGAATCTTGCAGTAGAAAAGCTTCTTAGGGACGTTTGGAGGCAGATTGATGTACATGTCCACCTCATCTAGGGTTTGATTCCATTCGAAAACCTTCTGACCTGAACGAATCAACCACCATTATAGTGATATGTCAACGGATTATTGGAAGTCTACAACCCTATAAAACCAATCTCTATGATAAAAAGTGTATATATATAGATATACATGTAGAGAGAGAGCAAGTGAGAAGTGCCCTACAAATTAGTCATACAGATTGAGCAAGCTGATGGAAGATTAAACACGCAATTGAACGCGATGAGAGAGAAAGTTGAAGACAACAACAACTTACTGCCATGAAAGAAGCTGTGACGTTCTTCAGGTGCCAATTTCTCTGCCATTTTTTTGTGCGTTTCGCTTGTTCAGAGGTTTTTGCTGCTGATTTTGTCCATATGCTATTTGGGTTAACCGCGGAAACTGCATAGAGACGTTATTGGTTAACCGCGAGGTTTTTATTTTATTATTATTTTTATTTATTTATTTATTTATTTTTAGTATTTATTATTATATAGTATATATTTTAAGTTAAAGTAAACACAAACTATAACCATCACATTGTTTTTTCTTTTACTTTAAAATAGAGTTACTAGAAGCATGTATAGGTATTTGTATAATGCAAAAATCTTATGAATATTTTAGTAAAAATTTAATCAGAGTAAATTTATGGCAGTTTATTATGAATACTAATTTCAATCTTAATTTTATACTAGTATATTGTTACATCTCAACCATTACAATTAATAGATGTATTGACCCTTTACCCACTTTTTAAACCTTGGAAAACATGACATGTGTATACTTGACCTAGATTTTAGGTACTAATTTATTATATTTTTTTTTAGCACCTAAAAATTCATTTATGAAATTGTCAATTTATTGATTTATTAACTTTATATCTTTTATACTATGTAAATTCTAACATATCATTTGTTATACTTTGCAGATGCCTCGATAGCCCAATAGTTAGTGCCTCCGGTGAATATTGGAAGTGAATTTTGGGAGTGCCAGATTTCGACTCTTTGCACCTATTAATCTAACTTCTAACCTTTCTTGCCTTGTAAAAATAAAAAATAAAAATTTGTTATACTTTTTCTCTAGTGACAAAGCCTACATTCATTGATTAATTATGGGTAAAGTACAGAGACACCTCCTGAAATTTGGGGTAAGAACCCACAGAAGAAAGTTTGTCTATTTTTGGACAATGACACCCCTTCAAATTTGAAAAATGGACAAACAGACCCTGAAGATGGTGAATTGACCTTATTATCCTTTGAAATAAAATTAACATTTTAATTGACTTAAATACCCTTGGATTAAACCCAAACCCATCTTAAACCCAAACCCGAACCCGAACCCGTCTGTGTGTATATTATACAGTTCACAAGAGGAGAGAAAACGGAGAGAGGAAGAAGGGAAATGAGATAGATACTGGTTGTGGTTGCGATGATGGGTGTGGAGAGAAGAGGGCGGCCACAGTTGAAGAGATGAGGTGAAGAGGAAAGAGAGAGAAAGAAAACAGGAAAGAGATTGTGGTGATGGCTACAACAATGGGGGTGGCGACGATGATTGCGACAGTGGCGATAATCGTTGTGATTGCCGCTGATTTTTCAGTGATCTGCGCCAATTATTCAGCCGCCATCGCCTCATTATTGGTGGCAGAAACACTGATCTCATCCTCAACTGTCCACATCATCTAGATCTGACGATGGTAGAACTACCGATCTCATCCTCAAAGCTTCGCTACAACACTTCATAGCATGGAAGCTTTAATAAGAGCACATACCACAGTACAAGCCCAAAAAAACAGAAGGTTCACCAACAATGATGAAAGGGTTCATACATGATTCAGAGCCCGAAGATCCATTATAAGCCCCAAATGTCAAAATCAAACAAATTTCAAAGTTTAGGTTATGTTTGAGAGTACGAATTAGTGTCTTAGAATTGAAGAAAATTTAATTCAAGCCTATTAATTCACAACATTAATTTATTTTTTTGGGGACTGATTACAATTTCTTACTTTGTTTTTGTTAATTTTATAGGAGAAATTTGATGATACACGAAGTGAACATACTGCATCAATACATAGCAGAAGGCTTTCAGCATCTTTGGACATAAAATACTACTGAAGGCAGTCCAAAGATTATGGAAGTGGACACCAGCAGGCCCAAATCAAGATCCCGAAGAACAAACACCTGGGTGTCAAATTCCAGCGACGACCCATTTGGCCAAACACTCTCTTCACCTCTCCCATGTCGAATTCCGACCCGTTTATCAATCCCCGATCACCAGAACTTCCAAGACATCGATTGGGGACTAATCGGCTACGAATGCCAGTTATCCACGACCCAAAACACCCCTTGGTTTGTAAATTCCGGCGGGTCTAATGCCCCGGTGACGCCGACAAAGAGCGTCTGTGTTGATACTTATTTCCGATAGTACACAAATTATCCAAATTATATGGTGAGTACACAATCATTCAAGGCCAATTTGAGGTCCCAAAGTGCATGCTCCAAAGTAGAGGCCTGAACCTGAATGATGGAGTCCAGGAATAGCCTAAGTGGGGTTAGAGGCCAAGCTCCAGTAATTTGGCCGAGCTCCGGCGATATGAGCACTTGCATTTTTATCATTTTTCTAGTCATTTTGACATACTTACATTTTCTTTTTCTTGTCAGAATTATAATTATTTTGCAAATGTGTGTTAATTTCATTAAGTGTCATTATTTGTTAAGAAATATTATAGACTTTATTATGCAAATAGCAGATTTGTCAATAAGTATTTCATAAAGGGCATTATAGACTTTTTATTTTACAAATGGCATTTTTGGTAATTGATTATTTTATAAAGGGCAAAGTAGACTTTTATTATGTAAATGGCATAATTGACATTTAGAAATAATGGAAGGACTTTTTGGTCATTTTGCTTGGTTATGCATTTGATTAATTGGGAGCTTAACACACAGGGGTACACATGGCTGCATATTGTGTGTGTATATAATGACTTTTGTTTTGTGATTAACATATTTTCTATAACGTAAAACAATCTGCAAAATTTTCGTCCCTTGTATTCCTTCACCATAGGCTGCTTCTTTACTTGTCATTTTGAAGGCCTTGTGTTGTGAGTTTTGGTTAGCTTTGTGAATAAAAAAGGTTCCTAAGGGAGAGAGCTTCCTCGTGGCATAAGAGTTGTGCACATTTTACAAATTATGGGTTGTCAAAAGTGGTGTTAAAGGAGAGGGTTTTGTTGTGTGTCAAAACAAAAAGGTGTTCTTCACTTTTTACAAAGTTTGTGGCTTTGCTTCCTTCTTGGAGTTGCTTTAAATTGTTGTTTAGCAAGGTTCAAGCTTCTTTTGGAGGTAGGATTGTCTAACCCTCAATTCCTTTGCCTTTAGTGAGTTAATCTCTTTCAGTTTTTGAGTTGCAAAGTGCATGCAAACAAAACTGAAATTCTGTGCTGCTGAAACTGTTAGGCTGAATTACATGCAACTGTTTTGCTCAAAATTGATGTAAATTCGTAATTTATATTTTAGAGATGATTTGATATGATGATAATATAGTTAATTATCTTTCATTGAGAATTGGTTTCACTTAAATTGGTTGAGAAATGAATTTATTATGAATTTTTAAAGTTAGAGTGTTCTTGCTTGAAATTCTGGGTTGGGGCAGTTTCTGTCCGAGTTTTTTTCATCAAACCTGGTATGGTATTTTGATGAAATAAAATTTTATCTTAAAAATATAGTCTTTGAAATTTTAGTGACCTTTGGATTCACTCAATTTGGACGAAAAGTGAATTTACTATGAATTTTTGAAGATGGAAGCTACAAGCTGGAAATCAGTGTCTGACAGATTTTTATTTCGAAATTGTGGATCAAAACTATTCAATTGGGGAGGAATTTTGTTAAACTAAATTGACACTCTCAAAGTAAATTGTTTAAGCTTTCATTAGGCTTTGGAATCACTCAATTTGACTTAGAATTGAATTTGTTATGAATTTTCAAAGATGGAAGTAACATGATGCATGTGAACTGTTTACTGTTTAGAAACTTCGGAACATGACACAATTGTGCATTCATCTTGCATGGTCATAGGGTTAACGTTAGAATGGAAAAAGGAAGTAAAAGTTTAGTAAATGATTTTAAAAACCAGATAACAGGGAGGTGCCTTGTATCCGTGAGTTAGGAAAGTGGGATTGAATCAATGATTTAAAAAACCGGACAAAGGAGTTGCCTTGTGTCTGTGCAATTAATGAGAATCTAGAGAAGACGTAGGAGTTGCCTACGCGTAATTATGTCACTAGGCCCCAAATGATCACAGGGAGTTGCCTTGGATCAGGGATAAATGATCAATTCTCTTCTCGTGGTACAGGGAGCAGCTCTGGCTGGATTACGTTAACTTTTTGTGATGGAAATGGGATTTTGGAAAATGAGAAGTGTCAATGGCATTAGCATTAGCATCTGCATTGCATGGCACTTCATTTTATTATCCGGCATGACATTATTTCTTTCCCCGAGTTTATATGATCTAGGGGTGACAAAGTTCGACACGACCCGCCAACATGACACGAGTTAAATGGGTAATGGGTTTACCATAAACGGATTCGTGTCATAAACGGATTGACAGATAACTCCCTCTCTCTCTCAAATCCACACCACACCAGCACGGCAGCATACCTCGAGCGACCAAGAACACTACAGTCTACACTTCGAGCAAACCAGCGAAGAACACAAACCTTGAACAATCGAAGTAAGTTTTCTACTTTTCTTTAATTTTTTTGTCTTTTCTCTTTCAGATCTACTTTGAAACAACAAAAGGTCAATTTTTTTTTGTCTTTCATCTTTCAGATTTACTTGAAAACAAGTTTTCTTTAATTTTTTTCTTTCAGATCTACTTTTAAACAAGTTATGTCTAATTTTTTTTCCATTATTATTGTTGTTTTTTAGAAAATTTGATGTATATATGCATCGTTTATTTTGTTTTATTTTGATGTAAATTGTTGTTTTATCTCTTTCAGATCTTCTGTTTTATTTTGTGAAAACACTTAATTTATGAAAAGACTTTTTTTGGTTCAACCCTGAAGATGGACAGAGTAAGAGTGAGGAATAATTTTCGACGCTTCTAAAATGTCAGTGTTACAGTGGTTGCTTGCAATGTGGTTTTTGTTCCTCTTTTTCATTTAAAAATCCTAACATAGACACAGACAGACACAATTTATTGTGAAAGTGTGCAAAAAGTAGGATTAGTCAAACTAAAAAGAATTAAAATCGAAAAACAACACTTCGTGTCATTAAAAGAGATAATGGTCATTGGTCATAGTAGCAAAATCACAGGAAAACTATTACAAACAATTTTAGTTATACTACTTTTAACAAATATGTTAAGACAATTGGGCTATCTGATTTTTTAAAATTTGTTTTGCATAAATTTTGGATTATATGCCAAGTATAATTAATGAGATTTGCTGCAAAAATTCAAATAGTTTAAGGTGGTTCATTTTGACATTCAAACTCATAAATCTGAACATGGTTAAATTTGACCATTAGGTTAATACAGCAATGTGATTGCATTTGCATTGTCCTTTTGATTCGGCTCTATATGTTTCTCTTTCACTTGAATATATTGTTATGAGATATTGAGATAATGGTGTTTAGCCCATATAAATTGCTGTCAATGTGGCAACGATGTTAAATTTATGTAGTGATTTGATAAAACTGGTGGCGGCTTGAATGTTAAGTTTCAATACCAGACACTAAATAAAGACAAACACCCATTATGAAATTGAAAACATGTATTCTTATGGTGATGCCTGTGATTATTTCTGGTTTCTAATTTTGATAATTTTACAAGTGGTAAGGATTTATTTATTATTATTATTTTTTGTTTATCAATTTAATAGTGTGAGTTACGTGAGTAATGCAGTGTGTAAATTGTTATGTTGATTAAGTTGTGATTCACACTTTAATAATTTAGAGGGAGTGAATAGGTCAACTTATTTAATTTTTGTTTGATTAATTATTATATATGTCATCTTTATTAATTATTATATATGTTTGATTTATTCATTTATTTATTTTTGGTAATATTTGATGGATTCTGCCATAGACTTGACGAAAGTGGTTCAGAAGATGATCTTGATTTGATTGACCTTGAAGTGGATCAGAATGAAAATGCAGATGTGCAAGTGCAACTGAGAAAGAAACAAGACACGAAGCGCAAAATATTTCTATTAAATTTTTTTATTTCGTTCTGTAATAACTTATGACTTATCTTTATTTCGGTCGGTAACTTATGACTTGTGACTTAATCTTTATTTTTGGCTTTTAATATCTATTTTTGGACTACTACATTACTACATACTACAGTACAAAATTTATAGTAATGTTTGCTAGTATTTTAATTTGTTAGTATCTTAATCTTTTGCCACTTTAAACAGGTTAAGTGGGTAAACAGGTCAAACGGGTAAACATGTTAAACAGGTCAAACGGGTAAACAGGTCGTTAAACAAGTCATGTTTGGTGTGTCTAACACGACACGTTTATTAAACGGGTTACACGTGTCGTATTGTGTTACCCTTTTAATAAACGTGTCGTATTCGGGTTTAGGATATGTGACACGATTATTAATCGTGTCGTATTCGGGTTGACTTATTTAGTGTTATACCCCTAGTTCGACATGACACGCGAACCCGAATTGCCACCCCTAATATGATCCCATTATCCTTTATCTATTTTTTGTTTGGATTCACGGAGGTATTAAGGAGTGCGCTTTAGGCAATTCCTGCTGAGCTGTGGTTGCTCATTCCTATATTATTCACATCTTTTCAGGTCATGGCACGGATGGTTTTGAGGGTGTTCCTCCTCAGCTGTAGACAGAGTCGGGGCTGGTATTGTTGTGTTATATTCCGCAAAATAGTCTATGTTTTGTCTTATATTTCTTTAGAATATTGGTGGCATGTAATAAATGTTATTTCGGACTTTAAAACTCTGATGTTGTAATATGTGCATCTTATCTATTAATTTTCAGTCTTGTTTTTGTAAAGGGAAATAAATAGATGGATGTGTAGTTGAGACAGGTTACAGGGATATGTTTGTTTTTTGTTTTTTGTTTGTTTTTTTTTTTTTTTTTTGAGACTGTGATTGTATTGTGTGTTGTGTTCACAATCCGGACTACGGTCTAGGGGCGTGACAGGCGAGGTCGAAGAGGTGGTGGTGGTAGAGCTCCTCTTCAGCGTTTTCTTCAAAGAGTGGTGATTATGGAGGTTGGGGTTGGTGGTCATTGGTTGTTTGCGCGTGCGCGCGTATATGTATCTATATATAGAGAGAGATGAAAAGGGTAATTTAACCATTTAAGTTTTTAATATTTTATAATTAAAATTAATAAAATAGTGAAAGGTAAAGTGGACTTTTTACATGATTTAAGGCTCTATTTGGATGATAAATTTTACAAGGAGGTGTGTCCAAAAATAAATTAACTTTCATCTGTATGTCCTTACTCCAAACCTCAAGGATGTCTCTGTACTTTACCCATTAATTACTTTAGACTCTTGAATGGTGTGCCAAAGTTTAATTACACAAATAGTACACAAAACCAAACACTCACAAATACCTTAATATCTTAATAATGATCTGCCAATGCAAACACTAAATATTTGAAGAATATTGCATCTATTATGTGAAAATGTACAGCTCGTTTTTTGAAAAGTGTATAACATAAGCTTGTTAACGGATCATATTTGTCTTGATTTGATTGGAATTCGACAAGACAATATGTTTCGATCTAATTTGATAATTCAATAAATTGTATGTTATTGAATTCGCGTCTATTTTTATAATTATTGTACATCCGTTTCAATTATTTGATCAGTCAAAAATGTATAATTTTTGTTAAAAAAAAAATACAAAAATAATGAGTAAAAAAACAGAGAATGACTTGAAAAAAAATGAAAATAAAAAAATGATTATTATTAAAAAAAAAGTTAGTAAGGAAAAAAAATTCTATTTTGATTCTTTTTTATCTTGCACATCAATTAAGTGACAGATAATACGTACTATATGTTACTATAATTAGATCAAATTATTAACTAATCAGACTATAATTCAAATTGAATTTGTTAATTATTAGTGATATTTCTTTTACCTTTTAAAATGAATGGTGAGGGTTCAAATATTTAAAGGAGTAAATTGGGTGTGTGAGTGATTTTTTTGTTAATTTAATTGATTATGATTGACCATATATCCAAGTTATTACATCCGATTTGAACCGGATCGATCCATGTTCGGGTTACTTCGAAATCCACAAAATAGCGCCTTTTTGACGCAGAGCGATGCGTCCTCTTACTTCAACAACACCAGAGAGGGCTTTTCTGAGGTATGGTTTAGCTGAAGTAAGAGAAAGAGAGTGTTTTAGAGAGAGAGAGAGTGTTTTAGAGAGAGTAAACATCGACGGTCAGAAGCACCACGAGAGAGATGAGATTCAATTTCGATATGGCTGAGTCCAACACAGAGGAAGGGCAAACCCTAACACCATCGTACTCAACACCAAAAGACGAAGTCGAATGGCTTACCCTTCAGAACCACCCTGTTTTTAGCACCACCGCCGCCGACGGTGGGGCCTCCCATTCCTCCACTTCCCGTATGCCCAAAAATCTCATGGCGTGGGACGGAGCCTCCCGCATCTTCGTCTGGGACTCCCACAAGCAATGCCTCCATCGGATCTCCATTCGGTTAGGCGAACCCGACCCAACCTCCGTTCTTGCCGCTTCGCCATCTAAGGTCATTTCACCTCTCCATTAAATTTTAATTTTTATTGTTATCATCTTTATAATCCATATATTTCGTTTTTTCTTTTCTTCATGATTATATTAAATTCAACGGGCTTATTAACTGCATATGCTGTAGGAATTGCATACAGTGTACAGTTGGAGTGTCAAACAACGTAAACACACATCTATGTATATGTGTGTGTGTGTGTATATATATATATATATGAATGCATGGATAAAAGTATGAATATACAACTTTACACACACACTTAATAGCTTCCTAAAATTATTTCAGGGTATCTTTTGCTACTTAGATTTGTTTTCTATCATCAGTTATATCCCCATTTCAGTCTCGCCCTACACCTTTCTCCTATTCAGAGTTACATTCCAGCTCCTTCCTCATATCTACTATAATGTTCTTGTATCTCTTTGCCTTTATTTGGTTTTACACTCTAATGAATTTCTCATATTATCATTTGACCTTTTTAATTGTTTATATAGCCTTGTTAACCGACAATTCAGCATGTTTTTGCCTTTTGGTTAGTGGCTGATAATTAATTTTTTTTTTTTTTTGATAAGTGGCTGATAATTTAATTTTCAATTACATAATTTGTATTTTTATTTTTTGCAATGATTTACTATTAGAGGATGAAATAAATTTTGTATTTCTGTTGTAGGCAGTACCGTAGTAGGTACATATGCCTAAATTAATTAGAGTTGCTGATTGGTGTTTCCTGCCTCCAATTAATTTGTTGGTACTACCTAAAAACCCTATATGTTTGAAGTCAAATACAAACACGAGCACTTCAATGTTATTGTCATTTCATAAGGAAATGATTATAAGTGTTGCTTGGTTAATTGATATATTTCGTAGGACAGATTGTCATGTACTATGGTGCAGCTGTAATTATATGGTAGATGACATACTATTTGCCCAATTTTGGAGATGTAGTTTGGTCTGCTGGAACAACTTTATTCATAAAAGAAGAAATTATCAAATTAATCCCCATTCATAAAATGCATATTACTCACTAGACTAAACTTTTAACAAATATCCCTCATTAAAATTTGCAATCATGACAAATCTCGGGGAGAAAAGTTATTTTGATTGGCGATAGGAAGTGACGGAGAAAGATTGTCATAGCAGAGATGCGGCCGGAGTCCACTACTCCGATTAGTCACCGGAGTCATTAATTCTAGTGAAATCCTTTGTTGTTGGTTTCGGTGCTTGCGGTGGTTCGGGGTTTTCTTAGTTGTTTTCATGAGAGCTCTCGATGGTCAGAGGCCGTCATTTCTGGAGGTCGCTAGTCTTCCTCGTTTGGATTTGAAAGGTGAGGTGGAGTGCTTCCCTTCTTCCAGTGATTATGTTTTTACGGTGTACAATCATAGCACATCTTCTCGCGAACGTACGCTTAGGGCTTGTCTAGTTGGGAGATTTGATAGAGAGGTGGGGACTCTAAAAAATATCGAAGAATGGGCTATGAGGACTTGGTCGATCTCGGCTGGTGTTAGGATTTCTTCTTTGCCCGATGGGCTCTTGCTGTTTCGCTTCCCGTCGGTCATGGAGGCTGTGAAGGTTCTCGATTACGGAAAGAAGTCATGGGGAGATGCACAGTTGTTCATTGACTATTGGTATTACAGGGTTAGGTGCTTTGGGTTGAGAAAGAAGCACAACTGTCGAAGAATCATCGTGTATGGTCTTCCTCTCCACCTATGGTGTCAGAACTCTTTTTTTGCCGTTGGGGATCTGTGTGGTGGCTTCTGAGACGTTGAGGCGTATGAGACGAGCGATACGGAGAGGATCGTCATCACTGTGAGTGAAGGTGGCGTGATCCTAGAGTCCATTATCGTGGAGGACAGCCAGTGGGCCTTTTGCATCATTCTTATAGAGGAAATCGCCCCTTTTCTCGAGCCGATTTCTAAATTTCGTGTCGGATCTGATGTTCTCAAACCTTTGGAGGTGACGGATAGAGGGGCTCGTTCGTCCTGCAAATCAGGAAACGGAGCTGGGCGTGAACTGGAGATTCACAGTGAGGATATGCAAGGTTGCCGGACGCAAGGTTAGGGACAAGTGAGGACTCACACGCCGGTGGCGAATGGGAAGGAGATTTCAGTCAGAGGGACACGTGGTTGGAGGAAGGAGGAAGATTGCCACCCCGTTATGGGTGGAAGCCAATTAAGGGTCCACATGACTTGGCACGTGACCAGTTTGGGAATTTGAATTCTTCTTCTGATGGGCTTGATAGAAATGGGCCTAACCAATGTGAGCTTGCGAAGGTTGCTTCGAGGGCTGATGGCAGGGTTGGGCATTTTAGGCCCAATTTGGTTGGGTCATCATCTTCTTCTGGTTTTGGACATGAAGGTTTGTGGGCCTTGAACAGGGCTGGACAGGTCAGGCCCAAAATTCTTAAAACTTCCTTTCTTTCTGGGTTTTCTTTTGCCAAGCCCATTCACTCAAAAAATAGAGAGGTTTTTTTGGGGCCCAAATAGAAGCCTGTCTATTTCCATCAAAGGGACGCAGCCCAGCCCACCTCCAGAACTGGCTTCTTGTTATGATCCTCACAAGCACATTGATTCGGCACAACCGAAGGAAGGTGCGAGACACTGGTCATAGGTGGAAAAGGATAATTGGGCAAAAGTGAGTTCGAACTTGATGACGGGAGATCGAAGACGTTTAGACACGACAAGTGTTGTCAGAATCTGCTCTGTGGTAACAAATTTGGGTTGCTCCAGTCGGGCTCTTTTTGTGAGGATGAGACTCGCAGCTGTGACTTTATCAAGGATGACGGCTTTTCTTTGGGTACGTCGCTTCAGTCCGGCAAAAGATGGACAAGGAAAAACAAACAAAATTGGGTCGCCCGAAAGGCAGCCCCACAACCAGGTATGTTTCACTCATCTTGTTCTCTCTCTGTTCCCTCTTCCGTCTTTACTCCTTCTCGTGGAGTGATGAAGAGCGAGGTGGCAGAGCCTTGTGTTGGGAAGCCTCGGTTGTTGTCACTAGTAATGGAGGTGGACTCCATTGTCGAATTGTTGGGCACGGATTATTCTGGGTGTGGGGACTTTGGACCGTCAGAAAGGGATGGGACGATCAATTTGTTTGTGGATGAGGGTTTTGATTGTTGCGATGGGCATGATTCCTCCTGTCCTTGCTTTGAATTTCTGTCCTCTCAGTTGGGCTCTTCTGGGGACGATTTGTGTGTTCTGTCCGAGCCTCAGCTGGGGTAGCATTCTCTAATGGGTAATGCTCTGGTGTCTTCCAAGATTGCTGTGACAGATTTGTTGACAGTTTGTGTGGGCAAAGACTTTCCCATAACTCTCAGTGACGATGCAGCTTCTCTGTTAATTAAGGAATTGTAGAAACACAGGCACCAGAACGATTTGCCTACAGTTGATCCAGACCCCTTCACTGTTGTTCATGAAGGTGGGGTGGGCAGTTCTAAGGACTGGAAGTCTTGCTTTGACGAGGCTGAGGAGGCAGAGGGAGGTGATGAAGGAGGGAGTGGGGAAGACCAAGGTGGGTCTCATGACATGATTTTGTGGGAGGAGGAGTGCCATTCTAATTTGGGGATTTTTGACCCCTTGGCGGTTGTGCGTCCGGAGGGTTTGGATTGCGATGTTGATAGGCAGGAGTGCGGCAACTTAGGCAAGGAGTGGGTTTTGGCAAATATCGGGGTCACCAGTGATTTGTTGGGGGTCTCGTGTAATGATAATCAGGATCAGGCCTTAGCAATCCTTCAGGCCACAGTGGAGGGGAAGGAAGGGGAGATGATCCAGTTTTCTAAAAGGAGGAATAGAAAAAAGAAGATTCGTTCTCCTTGGAGAAGGGAGAGGGAGCTGAGAAATCTTGTTCTGATGTGAACTACGATAGGAAGCTTGTGGGGGAGGTGGAAAGAGGGATTGATATGGAGGGAGGGAGGGGTTTAGGGGAGGTGGGTAATCTTGTTTTTCCATGAAGTTACGAATCTTATCTTGGAATGTTCGTGGTCTCAATGACCTAGGCAAGAGGAATGTGGTGAAGATGGCAGTGAGAAAATGGGGGGTTCATTTAGTGTCTCCAGGAATCGAAGATTGAATCTATGACTGATCGTGTGGTTAAGAGTCTTTGGGGAAATAGTTTTGTGGAGTGGGGAGACCCTGAATTCAGTAGGGACATCTGGTGGCATTCTTCTCATGTGGGATAGGAGATGGATGGCAAATGTGGATGTTTGTAAGGGGCAATTTTCTCTGTCTTGTGTCTTCTAGATGGAGGAGGACGGTTTCTCTTGGGTCTTCTTTGGTGTGTATGGGCCGGTGGATAATTGCGATAGGCCAGTTTTGTGGGAGGAGCTTAGTGGGGTGAAGGGGAGGTGACCTTTTCCTTGGTGTGTGGCAGGAGATTTTAATGTGGTGAGATCACCGTCGGAGAGATCTATTGGGGTCCATGGACCCCGGCTATGATTCTTTTTTTAGAGTTTATTGATGGTCATCAGCTTATTGATCTTCCATTGGAGGGTGCTTCTTTTACTTGGTCAGCGGGAGCGAGATGCCTACTTTTTCACGCCTGGATAGATTTTTGATCTCTGGAGAGTGGGAGGAGAAGTTTCTGGATGCTGTTCAGGCCACTCTGGCTAGGGTTACGTTGGATCACATTCCTTTGGTTTTGGACTGTGGAGGGTTGAGTCCACGTCGTACCCCCTTCAGATTTGAGAATATGTGGCTTAGAGCGGTGGATTTTCAGGGGTTGGTGCGATCTTGGTGGGAGGAGGATTTGGTTGTGGGAACTTCGAGCTTCATTTTAGTAGGGAAGTTTCGCCTTCTAAAAGATAAGCTCAAAAAATGGAATAAGGAGGTTTTTGGTAATCTGGAATGGAGGAAGAATAAAGCCCTCGCTGACATTGTAGAGTTAGACAGATTGGCAGCAGTGAGTGGTCTTGCTGAGCCTCAACGTAACAGGAGAGCAGCTTGTCAGGCTGAATGTGGTGAAATCGCGGTTTTGGAGGAGATCTCGTGGCGTCAGAAATCTTGGGTCTTGTGGCTCAAAAAGGGTGACCGTAACATTAAGTTCTTTCATCGTTGTGCGGGGATTGTTTCTTTCTATCAGAGGTTGTACACTAAGTCTCTTCGTTGGAGGCCACGTCTCGATGGTCTTCATTTTGATTCTATTTCAGTAGAAGATAAGGAAGGGCTTGAGAGACCCTTTACGGAGGAGGAAGTTCTTTTGGTGTTGAGGAGTTGTAATGGTGACAAGGCTCCAGCTCCGGATGGCTTCACTATGAGGTCTTATTAGAGAGCTGGGAGGTTGTTCGTCAGGAGGTTATGGGCACTTTTCATGAGTTCCATTCTAATGGGAGGTTCGAAAAGTCGTTGAATACTTCTTTTATTGCCCTTATCCCCAAGAAGGGAGGGGCAACTGACGTTAAGGACTTCAGACCCATTAGTCTGGTTGGGTGTATGTATAAGCTGATCACTAAAGTCCTTGTGCTACGATTGAGGGAGGTTTTGGACAGTGTTATTTCTGATTCACAGAATGTGTTTATTGGGGGTAGACAGATTCTGGATTCCGCCCTTATTGCCGGTAAATGTGAGGATTTCAGGCTTAGTAGCGCGATTCCTGGAGTTTTATGTAAGCTGGATATCGAGAAAGCCTATGATCATGTTTGCTGGAACTTTCTGTTTTATCTGTTAGAGAGGATGGGGTTTGGAGAGAAATGGAGGTGATGGATAGTTACTAATGTCTCGTCTGTTAGATTCTCGGTGTTGGTTAATGGGTCCCCATCGGTAGGGATGGCAAATTTCCCATCCCCGCCGGGTCCCCTCCCCGCTTATAGCGGGGATGGAGACCTTTTTATGTAAACGGGGATAGGGATGGGGATAAATTTTGAAAACCCGGCGGGGATAGGGATTGGGTTAACCCGTCCCAATTAAGTGTGAAATTACTAATATACCCTTGCATATAATAATTTATTACTAAATTAGATTAAGTATATATATGAAAATAAGAAAAAATATGTTTTTAAAAAAAAATATATATATATATGTTAATCGGGGCCGGGGATAAGAGGTAGGGGGTGGGGGCGGGTATGGGGTGGTGGTGAAATTTTAAGCAGGGATGGGGATTGAAAAATTCAGCGGGGATAGGGATGGGGAATGAGATCCCCGCCCCGCCCCGTTGCCATCCCTACCCATCGGGGTTCTTTGGCAGCTCTCGTGGTTTGAGGTAAGGGGATACTCTCTCCTCTGTCTTGTTTATTATTGTCATGGAGGCTCTTAGCATGTTGATGAGGTAGGCTGTGGACTTGGGGTTCATTCGGGGCTTCAAGATTGGTTCAAATGCAGCTCATTAGTTGGAAATTTCTCATTTGCTTTTTGCGGACAACACTCTGGTTTTTTGTGAGGCTGAGGTGTCCCAGTTGAGATATTTGCGATGTGTCCTTATTTGCTTTCAGGCAGTCTCTGGGCTAAAAGTCAACGTAGGAAAGAATGTGATTGTCCCTGTGGGGGATATTTAGGAGGTGGAGTCTCTCGTAGCTGTCCTAGGGTGTAGGATGGGCTCCTTCCCTATTTCTTATTTAGGCTTGCCTATGGGTGTCTCGACTAGAAGGGTGGGAAGTTGGGTGATTGAGCGTTTCGAGAGAAGGCTGGAGGGGTGGAAGAAGCAATACCTTTCGAAGGGGGGAAAAGTTACTCTGGTGAAGAGCACTTTATCTAATCTCCCAACTTATTTCCTTTCGCTCTTTCAGATCCCCTCTGCTGTTGTTGGAAGACTTGAGATGCTTCAACGGAATTTTTTGTGGGGTGGTAGAGGAGAGGAGTTTAAGTATCATCTTGTTCGATGGGAGCAGGTTTGCAGGCCCTCAGGTTGGGAGACCTAGGGATTAGGAGATTGGCCCCTTTCAACAGGGACCTCCTACGGAAATGGCTTTGGAGATTTAGCAGTGAACGACATAGGTTATGGAGGAAGGTTGTTTTTTGTCGGTTTGGGGAGGAGAGGGGGGGATGGTCAGCTAGACCGGTCAGGTCTGCTGTTGGTGTGGGGGTTTGGAAATCTATTGGGAGAGGTTGGGATGAGTTCTCAAAGCACATTAGATTCAGAGTCCGGGAAGGAAGGGATATTTGGTTTTGGGAGGATGCTTGGTGCGAGGACCATCCTTTGTCTTGTCTGTACCCGAGATTTTTTAGGATTACTGCTGATAGACATGTTATGGTTGCTGACTGCTATTGCCTTGATAGCGGTAGGTTGTCTTGGGATGTTCAGTTTCGGCGATCATTTCACGATTGGGAGTTGGATGAGGTCATTGGTTTGTTGGATCTTCTGTATAGACAGGAGGTGGATGGCACCGGGTCGGATTCTTTGACTTGGGTGCTTTCTCCTCAGGGGACGCTCCAAGTCCGGTCCTTTTTTCACCAGCTTTCAGGGTTTCGTGGATCCATCTTTCCGTGGAAAATGGTTTGGCGCTTGAAGGCTCCTCTTCGGGTGGTTTTCTTTGTGTTGACTGTTGTTTGGGACAAGATCTTGACTCTAGACAACTTGAGGAAGAGACGACATGTTATTTGTTAACCGGTGTTACTTGTGTATGAATGATGGAGAGTCTGTGGATTATCTTCTCTTGCACTGTCCCGTGGCTTACGACTACTGGAGCCTTTTGTTGTGTCTCTTTGGTGTTCAATGGGTTATGCCCCGGACTTCAAGAGATTTGATTGATTGTTGGAGGGGTCAAAGGGTGGGGGTGCGCGCCCCCGTAATTTTTGGAGAGTGATTCCCCTTCGTATTTGGTGGAGTCTTTGGAAAGAATGCAATCGAAGATCTTTTGATGGGGAGGGGACCTCCATTGGGGCTTTGAAGTTCGCTATTCTTTGCTCTCTTTTTAGTGTATGGGGAGAGATTGTATTTCTTTGGATTAGAAATGGACTTTTTGGGGTCGTTGGGTCCATAGATCTCATTTTTTCTTCTTTGCCTTTTTCGTTTCTGTACAACTCTTGGGATGCGTTCCCCTTTTGAACGCTTTCTAATACAATTTCACTTATCAAAAAAAAATTAATCCCCATTCAGATTGATTAGAAAAAAGCATTTCATGATGAACTTTATTTTGTTTTTATCAATAATATCCTGTTCTTTATTTATTCTATATATTTTTTGTTGATTCAAGTTTTTTTCTTTTAATGGGCTGTTATTTACTTGGAAACTATTTTTTATTTGAACTTAAGAGTAAAAATGGCAGGAAAAAAGAACATGCTTTTGAAGGCTAGTGGGTCTTTTATAATGGTGTGCAGAAACTAGATTGTGAACAATAAATTTGTAGATTCTCTATACTTTATCTTTTCTTCTTTCTTATGGTTTTAAGTTCCCTCATCTTGCTTCAATAGTTACTTTTTATAATTACTTTCAACTGTGTAGTTGATAATACTAGTAATTTGATAGGTATTGCAAGCAGATGTGCAGCTCAGTTTTGTGGTTAATAAAGTCTCAATCAATAGAAATGGATCAGCATTACTCCTGGCCGGTTTGGATGGTCTATGTGTCATGAACCTCTATGGGCGCACTTCTACGAAAGATAATACCATTATTTGCAGGTATGAGCAGAACTGTTGTCTGAAGAGGAGTATTTATCCTATAAAAATAAAAAAGAGGATGTCTTTTTCAAGAAATACTAATCGCCTATAAGATGTAAAAATACCAATCGCTTATAAGCTATGCATCTTATATTTACTTTGTTTTGGGTTTTGGTGTGGATAGAAGATACATCAATAATTTTTATCTGAGTTCAATGACTTAGTTTGATTTACTATACATGACTTAGTTTGACTTACTATATGCCCTCTGTCCCATATTAATAGTCCATCTTTCCATTTTTAGCTGTCCCACAATAGTTGTTCTATTTCAAATCAATGTATTATATTTTCTAACCTTCCCAATTTACCGTTATTGCATTGAAAGGTTAAAAGTTAAAATAACATTACCGTGGGCCCCACCAATTCAAAAGCAGAGGGTAGATTTGGAAATCCATTCGGAAATCCATTCATGTCAATGCAATACGAGTAAAAAAATTTTAAAAGTCAATCTCTTAAAAAGAAAGAATTTTGAAAGTGGATATCTATAACATGTCATTTGGCAACTGCCTAGGAAGCTTGGCTACCAAAAAGGACATCACCTAGAATCATCTAGGCATTTTGACAACTCAGATACCAATTGTTGAGTGTGGTTTCTGCTACATCACATTTTCATCTGTTTTGCTTGTGTGATGCTTGACATTGATCTCCAGGGCATATTTTTTTTGCTAAGATCAAATTTACCTTCTGGGTGTTGATTTTGTTTAGTTCCACGATTAGCTTAACTCATACTGTTCCACGATCAGCTTAACTCATACTGGTCTGAGTTTTAATCAGACTAATTCATTCCTGATCTTTTCCTCTTTGTTTCTATTTACTGGCCTTCCAGATGAGAATTTTTCACAGTTCTATGTTCCTCATTGATCTGGATGATTGCAGGATTTTTATTTAGCTTACTATGACGGTGGGTTATATCTGGGTAACTCTGATTGATGTGGGACTGATTATGTATCTAGAAAAAAAAAATGGATGGCATGGATCATAAATGTTTGATTTAAAAACAGTCTTTTTTGAATTTTAAAATCTTGTCCTTTCATCATATCTTCTTTCTGGTGATCAATCACTATATCGAGTCTGTAAAAATTAGATGCCACCGTTGACCCTTTACATTTTTGTGAATACCCGATTATCTGTATTTTCAGCAGGCAAGAGAGCATGTTCCTGTCATTAATAAAAATAATATTTGTTTTCATTTGATTGAGCAACTGCTTATATACTGCATGTGCATATATGAAAATGCTCATATGTATTATGAACCATTAATTGTTGTCTTTATATTACATTGTTTTTTCGAGCTCCCATACTGTTCAATGACATCCAAGCTTGAATAGGGAAGCTCAAAAGCATTCATGGTTCAAATGTCACAATGCTCTATAGGATCATCATTCACGTGTATGCATATGTATTCAGAAAATTGTCCTTGCCATTTCCAGTTACCAATTACATTGATATTACCATGTTATTATTTTAACTATTAATCGGACCATCTTAAAGTTCATACGGTGCTATATTTTGTTAACTTATTTACAGGACCGTTTCAGTTGGCTCAGAAATCTACTTTACCAGCAATAATGTCATACGCACATTACAAATTTCATGGCACCCTTACAGCAGCACCCATCTGGGTATCCTCTCTTCCGATTCAGTTTTCAGGTATTGAGTTCTTAATTGACAATTGTTTTCTAAAGGTTAGGCCGTGGTTGGTAAAATATTGCTTGAAATAGAAGGCATTGACATTAGGGCAAATGAGTTGGGCCTGATCACTGATGGTTGCCAAGGTTCAAACTTTCATGCATGAGCTTGTGTTCTCATAATAAGTTCCCTAAAACTTAGATCATTTTCTTTCAGTGCTATCACATTTGAAGTTCGAGGATTTTTATTCATACTGAGGGTCATTGGCATATGCTCTAGGGATTGCATTCTTAATATGTATCGTCATTTATATAATTTTTTCAGTTTTTCAAAATGTGTTTTGGACCTGGAGAGATATATTTTAGTTTGATAACAAGATTTCCTCATGCTGGCAATTGAAAAACCATATGTTACCAATTCTTTTAGATTTCCTTGATTCTTATATTAAATATGTTTTATTTATTTTTGACGGATGACAGTATCATTCTATCAGTGATAAAAAAATTAAGGTAGAAAGGCAGAAGGGACATCCGGCTAAAGCTAAAAGAGCAAAAGACATTAAATAAATCCATGTAGAAACCCAAAAGGCCAAAACAGAGGGCTGTAGTACGAGTCGGGCTACTTGATTTCTGCTCATGTTCAGCTTGGCGTAAGCTTGTTCGAACTTGTTCAGTGACTTTTTTGAGCCAAGCTTGCACATTGGTTGTAAGCTCACCAGATCATCCAATTGATCCTAATAGTTTTAACTACTGGTGCATTGGATATTTGCACTACAGGAACTCTCTCGGTCAATTCCAATGGTTAACTTGTGATTTTGGGTCCTCTTTTTATTTATTTATTTTATATATATATATATATATATATATATATATATATAAACCAAGAACTGACAAATACCTGCCATGATGTAAACAGATGAATTTGAGATACAAGTATCAGTCCGTATACCCCCCCTCTGTCTCTCTATCTATCTATCTATCTATCTCTCTCTCTCTCTTTAATTTTATTTTTACTAAATAACATGTGGAGCACATTCCTTTCTGACAACTATAATCTATTTGCCGATATTGAGTTGACAACTAAGCACCACTCTTTCTTTGAAAATCTACTACCTAAATTTAAAAAACAACTTTGGATGCTACCACTTTGTAAGTATTTGACTGCTACAAACTAAGCTAGCCTGAGTACCTTGTATTTTATCTCAAGCTGATCTTAATCATTTTTATTTTATTTTTTATTTTATGTCTACTGAGCTTTACTAAGCTCATACATTGCTAGTAATCGAGCTGAGCTTGAAACCATCAAGGCTGACTTGCCTCACTCATTGTCACTCATAAATAAAGTCACACTTCTCATTTAGGAAGATATCTGTAGCCAAAAGGTCTTCTTCTTCATTTCTGACTCTATGGATTCAAGAAAAGTTATGTGAAGGTCCAACCTTGCCGAATGAAATTTGCATAGTACCATGAACCCACATCCTCATCTCTCGCTCACCTGGTAATAACTTTAAATCACCCACCACCCAAAGTTTTGGTGGCGCAACCATATGGAAATTGTTTCTTTAAGGCCCTCAAAAATTTAAAACCTCCATTTTAACTCGCTGTCCTTGATTCATGGGTTCATAATAAGTGAGCTCCTTTTCTAATATAAAATGTACATGCTTTTCCCAAGGGTAGTATCAGGAATGTTGGAAAATGATGCCAATTATGCTCGAATCATTCCCCCTCCTTTCTTCCTTTTTCTTAAGCACATTCAGTGCTTTGGCATTGAGGTGTAACACTCATTTCTTGCTCGATTCATCTAAGTTCAATATCTTGTGGCCTTATGGCTCTTTTATTCAAGGTCGCTGATAGCTATAATTATAATTGATAAACTTTGTCAATTGTTTTTCTAACATGCTCTGGATGATGATGTATTAAATTTCCCAAACTTCATGTGCTTTTTGTGGCTTTCTTGGGTTTGCCAAATTTAAATCTTACATCTTGTGTTGAATAAATTATCTAGTTTGATCATCTCCAAGCGTTCATTAATGATGCCATTGATTTTGATTTTTACTGATATGGTCTCTCCTTTATGTAGGCTTTTTGATTTGTCTTCTCCTCTTGGACAATTGGAACAGGAATATTATTTACAGCCTGTAGAACCAGGTAGATCGAGGAACGCTGCATCAATCTGTCCTGTTGATTTTTCTTTTGGTGGTGATCACTTGTGGGACAGATTTAGTGTAAGTTCAGTTACACCTTGTAAGTTCACTTGTTGGTTTTTTTTTTTATTGATGATGCTGTTTTGCTCACTCTATCATGAATGTGAAGGTGAACTATTAATGCTCCTTTGACTTTACATTAATCAGTTTAATACACACACACACACACACACACAAAAAAAAAAAAGAAAGAAAGAAAAAGAAAAAAAAGAGATGTAATTGTTTGAAGTCAAAACATGAATTGTGTTCCCCCCACCTCCACCCGAGCATTTTAATCCATGTCTTATATTTTATAAGTACATTGTGTCACCCATTACAGAACTATGCCCAATGCTCTATTTGGTGCCCCACATATTATAGATTGCTCTTTTTATTTATAGCGTTTCATGATTGTGGTCCCACATCTTTTTTTATCCAGCTATTTGTTTTTTATTCCTGAATATATTCTATACCTCCTCTTGGGCAATAGGACCTAGGTTGGCAAATTTTCTAGAAGAAAATTGAGTCTATAATTATTTATTTATTTTTAAATTTCTAACTTATTTGCAAGTTTTCAAGAGTTCATCAGTGTTAGTTATTACCTCCCAAGGTCGAAGAAGGAATTGCAAGCTGATTTCAACACATTGATGCATTCATGAAATTAGGGTTCTTGCATGCATAATTAGTGTTTTCAAGTTTTCATGATTTTGGTCTTATTTGATTTCCTAAATCTTTCAAAACATGCATTAAAAGTGTATTTGGAAACTTCTGCTTTGAGAAAATTTTCTTAGTATTTACTTCTTGTAGACTTTGATCAATTGATGGTAGGGCTGTAAACTAGCCTAGTTGAGCTTTGGGGTGCTCGAGCTTTCACTAGCCAAGAGTCAAGATCGAGCTCGGCTTAACAGTGTTTGAAACTTGAGCCCGGCTCGGTTAAGCTTGTTTTGTGTATAAATGGTGGTGAGACAATGTTTGTGTATAAATGTGTTTCTGTGTGTTTAGATAACTTCGGAAAAAAAATCTTTTTCGATAACTTCGGAAAAAAAATCTTTTTCAATAAATTTGGAAAAAAACTGTTTTCAATCTCGATCAATTAGCAATCTTCACACCAGTATTCGATCTCTATTGTTTAGCACAGTCGCAAACTTATGATTTCAAAATTCATGCAACTATAAGAGAATATATATATATATATATATATATAGAGAGAGAGAGAGAGAGAGAGAGAGAGAGAGAGAGAGAGAGAGCTAATCTGCTTGGCATAGGAAGTTGCACTTGCAAAGGACCTTTATCTGCCATCGTGATGAATCATTGCAGTGACGACCCAAAATAGGGGGTGCCAATAAAAAACATTCCAATCACCCAAAATCTTTAGCAAACATGATGTATAATACATGATACATATATTTTTTTTTGATAATTATAATACACGATACATATCGAACCTCAATTACATCAAAGTCCTCAAAAGAAAAAGTGTAACAAGCAATTTATCAGACACTTAATATGCATAATCAAGATATCCTCCAAATATATTTTTTATTTTTTTTGAAAATAAACTCATGAGTTCTCCACTTGCTCCTTAGTACCTGAAAAATGGAGGTGAGACAAAGCCTGGTAGGAAAAACTCTAACAGGAGCTTCTAAGAGGTTTTAAAGGAGAACATGCTTCACAGAATAATAGATTTCATTGGTAAATCATATCAAAACATACATATACAGAAGATAAGATATTTTTCCACCATAATTTGGACAAGAAGCTCAAGACCGAATGAGGAGTCAAGATAATTTGAGTATAGACCATGAAATAATTTGGGCACAACACATGCAACGACTACAAAGATACTTTCATGGCCACAATCAAGATATTAAGGAGTAAAAACCACTCAAAGCAACTCAAGTTAAAGAGAAACCTACCCATGGATGACAAAATGAAGATGAGATGATTCCTAGCTGCTCCTTCCTTCGATCGTCTCGTCTTCTCCTTCCTCTTCCTTTCTTCTTTTCCTTCCCTTCTTCTTCTTCTCTCTCTCTCTAGAACTCTCGGACAGCCCTCTTCTTTCTCTCTCTAAACTCCCGGCTGGACTTTCTTTGCTTTCCCTTTTGTTTCTTTTCTTTTTCGAGGGACACTTGAATGTAAAGAACAAGTGTAATGGTTAGGTGTAACAAGGGGGAGCTTGTCCCACATCGGATCCGGATTGGAAAGTGAATGGGTATGTATGGGTTGGGTATTAGCCCCACCTAATAGCTTAAGTTTTTGGATCGAATCGCAAAGTATCCATCCGTTATAGTTGGTATCAGAGCCAGAGCCAAACCCAGTCCTTGATCCGGTGTCACGCTAAGAGCTTGGCCTGGAGGGCGACTGGGTCTGCAACCCGGGTAGGCAGGGTGGCCCGAGCCGCAACGAGGGTGTTGTAAATTCGGGTGGGGGAAAATGTAACAAGGGGGAGCTTGTCTCACATTGGATCCGGATGGAAAAGTGAATGGGTATATACGGGTTGGGTGTTAGCCCTACCTAATAGCTTAAGTTTTTGGGTTGGATCGCGAAGCACCCACCTGTTACATTAGGGACATTCACGTGTCTCTATGGGTGGTATAAGGGAACACGCGTCATGGATGTACTATGGGGCTGTCAAATGGGTCACCACTAAACCTAACTTTGCCAATTTCCAAAACCCTCCGCCACTATCTAATTATTCACACCACATCTTCATATATTTTGTGTAACATCTCCCACTAACAAATCAATGACACCAAGACCATTCTTACTTCACAGAAATTTCTCAATATTAGTTCAAATCATCTAGGACACCAATTACGATTACATGATAAAAAACCTAGGGAGTTACAGTTGCAGCTGCTGGATCATCCTTTTCTTTGAGTTCTATTAGGTGTGGCTAGGGTTTGTGTCTTTTGAGTTCTGATATTTGTGGCTAGGGCTTGTGTGAGGGTTGAAGAATTAGAAAAAAGGGATAAGGTTTTACTTATGTTTACAGATGGATAATTGGATGGGCTTGGGGAACGGGCTCTTATATGTATGAATTAATATGATTTAATCGGGTTGAATTGGATTGGGCTTGTACTTTGTTATGGGTTAAAATGAAATATAATGGTTGATAAAGTCTTCTAAACTTATATGTCTATATATATATTTTAACAAGTGTATAACGAGTTGTTAAACAAGCCTGTCCGTGAACATGTTCACGAACAAACAAGCTCCAGTTTGGCTCGAGCTTGAAAATTCTATTTGAGCTCGGTTTGTTTATTCAACAAACGAACATGAGCCGAGCTCTTAGTGATCCAAGCCCGAGCTGTTCATCGAACACTCAATTCATTTACAACCCTAATTGAGGGTTCGATCGAAGCTCCACTGGAATATCGTTGATCGATCCATGGGAGTTTCAATTGATCGAGCTTTTGAGGAAAAAATAGTTTCCAATTTAGTTTTTTAAACTCTACCAACCCTATTCTCTCTATATCTCTACGTTGCCTATGTTTAAACTGCACTTAAGACAGAATATACATAGTCCAATATTCATAAAGGGAGAATTATTGTGAGGTTTAGAGGACGTCATTTTTTTTCTTTCTTTACATTTAGCATACGTAGTTTTGGTGAGTCCTCTTGATTTCTGTGTGGACATGTGTTATTGCACACTAGATTAAAGAGCTCGACGCTGTATTCAATCCATCGATAGAGATTGAATCCTAGAAGACTAGTGGCTGAGACTGAAATCACTGAAGAGGCAACTTTGTGAGGAGTGAAGGCTGTTGATTAGCAGAAGGACGACCTGGAGAGTTACTAGAAAAGTTTGGTGTCATCTGTGATAGGGAATTAACAAGGGGATTATGGGGGTAGTGTCTGTTAACCTAGGTTGTAATCCTTTCTCATAAAATCTTGTCCATTGCTTTACTTCTTTATCTGCTTGTTATGATTGCTATGAATTGATTGGTTTTTATCCTCAGCTATGAACTGAATTTAAAATTTTATTAATTTAATTTTGAAATTCGATAATGTCGATACTCACGGGTCTTCCGCAACTCTCTATCAGAGTTTCGGGTTCTGGTCCTTACTTTCACCCCCTTTCACATCAGTTATGGTAGATGTCTCTTTTCATTTTACATGCAAGTTGATTGCCATGTTGCACCATTTGGACATTTTGATCATACTGATTTAAATCTAATAACTTGTGTTTGGTGCTGCCCCCATAATTTGTTGTTGTTGTGGTCATTGTGACTGACTAGCTTGTGCGTTGCATTGGCTTGGGTATGTGTATGTGATCTGTTCATGTGTCTCGAGTGTCGGGTTTATTAAATTTCCTAAAAGGGAGACAGTGACAGCTAATTATTCATTAAAAATAATATTCTTCCTTCATTTTCTTGAGTAAGATAATGTTGTTTTCAAGTGACAGAATGTTGCCACTTGTTTTGAAGCAATATTGTGAAAAAAAGGAATATAAGAAGTGGTTTTTTTTTTAACATGCTTGGTAGGTGAATGTCCAGCTAGACGCATCGCTGTGTCGGATACATACCCCATAACTATGTCTGATTGTTGTGTATCCAACAAGGGTGCTTCACACTTTTTTTAGGACCCCATGTTATGTAGGTGGCTGGATACCAAGACTATCATGATACACAAGGGTGCTTCACGCTTTTTTTAGGAGTCCATATTATGTAGGTGGCTGGTTACAAAGACTGTCATGTTGCGTTTATCATTTTGAAATGATGATTCTTTTCTTTTCTGCAGGTTTTTATTTTATTCAGTGATGGTTCGGTTTACATCCTTTGCCCAGTTGTTCCTTTTGGAAGGTAATTTACAATTTATGTTGTGCCTGCTTGTCTGTAGTTGTTTTGGAATAATAAGTTATAACACTAGTGATTTTTCCTAGAATAAGCATAGATGGGCATTATCATGTTTAGCAGTCTAGCTCATGGGAAACTCAAGATACTTGTAAATGGGATGTAGTTGTGGGCATTATCATGTTTAGCAGTTTAGCTCATGGGAAACTCAAGATAATTGAAAATGGGATGTAGTTGTGGATTTTTACTGCCAATTATTGTGTGCCACACATGCAACAAATTACAATAGTGGATACCTCATTTGATATTCACTCCTTGGATCTTCTGTACTGAAATTATTTGATCATAGTTTTGGGTTTCACCCTGCGCATTATTGTGTAGAAAAATGCAATGGATTGTCGAAGCAGATGCCTTTTTGATATTCATACCTGGCGGCCTGTACTAAAACTATTTGATCATTATGACCACCCAGTTCATCAGTGTTTCAGACAATCTAAAGTATCTGATAGATTATCCATTCCCCAAAAATTGTGCTGTTCTGCTGCGGTACTTGTGGTCTATTCTAACCGTTTCCTGTAAAGGATACCTGGAATTTTGCCTGTTTGCACTTTGCTGATACTTTATGCAGGATGCTGACTGAAATTTGAGTGCTTCATTTTGAAACAGTATGTACAAGTGGGAATCAATATTGGAAATATATAGTGATGCTCACACATTTGGGCTGAAATCTGCCAATTCAAAAGCTGTTAGTAATTCTAACCTGGCAATCTCTTGGTTGGAAGCAACATTTCCCGACTTAGCTCACCAATCAGCAGAAGGGGGAATTTTTTCTGTACATAAAGCTCAGCCTTATGCTTTATTTGATGCATCTGTTTCATTGCAGGTATTTCTCTCACCTCTTTGTGTCTCATGGTTTCTTGTTACTGGCCTTATATATTAATTGAGTTTGCAATCATTTTTGATTGTCAAGATTGCAGATGTTTTTAAATCAATTCTATGCAATATGGCCAGACATGATCATATTCCAATGTTGCAAATGGCTCAAGATTTATTTGTGATTGTAAAAATGTGATAAAAAATGACTTCTTCTTTTTTGATTTTCAGGGGCCTCTTCGTAAAGTATGTAGTGGGCGGGGAGATAATTCTGAAGTTCGAGGAGCAGAATGTGAAGGTCGTGCAGTCAGTTTTCTTTATAATTCAGTCAGCAAAGATTCGATTCTTGTTACTGCTTGGAGCGGTGGGCAATTACAAATAGATGCCTTGGCTGATGAAATTCAGCCAGTTTGGTCTCTTGGTAGCCGACCACGTCTTTTTGTTGATTCTTATGACCGTATACTTGGTGTTGCTATGATTTGTGATATAATCCCCAGTGAGCTCTCCATTGTGAATTTTGACCAGCCACTGGATCATACTGTTTGGTTGGGGCACCCACCTCCTTTGTTGAGATTGGCTATTGTGGATTTAGCTTTGCCAAGAAAAAGAGAGAGTGGTTCTCTTATTTCAATGTTTGTTGATCCCCTTATTCCAGAAAGAATATATTCCCTTCATGATGGTGGGATGGACTCAATAGTTTTGCATTTTCTCCCTTTTACAAGTCAGATAAGTGGCAAGGATGAGACCATGAGAACTCCCTCTGTGCATCCTGTCCTTAGTACATGCCAGGGAGAATCGTCTGCACAATCTCCTCTTTGTGGTTTTGTGGCACTGTCAGATTCATTTGGACATTCATGGATTGTGGGACTCACCTCCTCTCGCGAATGTATTGTGCTTGAGATGGAAATCTGGAATATGTTGCTTCCCGTTCATGTTCACAAGGAGATGAAACACTCAAGCTTGGAAGAACTGACAGAGGTTGGTACTCGAGCTATTATAAGCAAAGAACTCCTTACCGGCCCTAAGGTGGTCCTTGTGCCTCCTTCCTCGCCAAATTTACGCTCTGTTGCTGCTGATTCTATTGAAGGTCGATCAACTCTTCATCAGTACTTTAAGCTTTTTCGTGAAAATTATGTGGAGTATGCACATAAGGTAATAACTAAAAATCTTACTCACACGTAAGAATTTATCTCATTTAATTCTTAACTGGAAACCTTGTTCGGTTGTTCCCTTTAACTGAAACCTATTTTATCCTCATTTGGCCTCCATTTTTACCATTTTAGCATACTGGAAGAAAATGCTCTTGTTAATATCTTTAAGCTGTGGGGTTGATGATTTCCCCCAGTATTTTGCCATATATAGTGTCATATAATTGTGGAAATTATGAAGAGGATTTCAGGGATATTTTCAATGAGTGGGCTTTTTGGAGCCAATGCTAGTTGATTTATATTATAACGTGATCATCGATTATGCTTTGCAATACCAAGTGCCTTATGGTATGTTTGGTTGGAGGGAAGGATTGAGGAGGGATGGATGAAAGGGTGGAAGAAAGAACTTTTCGTGTTTGGTTGGAGGGAAGGGAAGTGAGGGAGGAAGCAAGGAGGGATGAACCATCCCTCTTTGCTTTGTATTTTTCTATCCGCCTAAATTTGGGGGGAAGACGAGAGATAAAGATGGGATAATAACCGTCAAATTTGTAATTTTCATTTTTAAACTTCCCAAAAATTTGGAATGGAGATCTAGTTTTTATATGTTTTATATAATGAGGGTATGTATATTGGTAAAAAGAATATAAAAACTCTCTTTTCCTTCCTTCCAACCAAACAAAAAAAGTGCCACCCCATCCATTATTTCTGCTATCCATTCCATACAACCACAAAAAGTGGGGGAGACATCTTCCCTTCCCTACGGATGCCTTGTCCATCCCTCCCCCTCTCCCTTCCATCCATTTTTCCATCCCTCCAACCAAACGGAGCATTAGTTATGAACTGCAGAGTTGTTCTGCCACTATTTTGGTCGGGCTTTTTGGGATTTACATTGTTATTCTGCAAATATTCTGCCTGTTTTTTAACCGCATATTTTTATGCTGTTGTAACTTTTAAGTATATAAATGCCTTTTTTTTTTTTAACCAAATTTTTTTTTATAGTAATCAGTTTATGAAGTTTTTTTACTGTCTCATTTTCTAGGTATATTTTGAAATCAAGCATCATGGGCCTCACCTGAAGAAAATCATTGATGAGCAGCATGCTCGTTTGCACGAGGCACAACAGAAGCTTACGAAAGTTGAGGAAAAACAACAAAATGTAGGGAACCGCATTGGTAATGCCATTAAGCTTCACATTCTGCTAGAAGAGCGCTTGCAAAGCTTGAGAAACCTGCCTGGGGCACATAAGAGACCATTATCAAAAGCAGAGCGAGAGTTCAAGTCAGAACTTGGTAATTTGTTTATTTTGAAAAAAATATAATCACTGATTTAATTTCAGTCTTGAATTATATGATTGTCGTTAGGTATATTAGCCTGATTTTATTCTGTGTATAGTTCAATCATATGTGATTTGCCCATGTATTTGCTCAATACAACGTTTCGCCATTCCAAGAATAACTTATATGGATTGTTTTCCCACAGTAAAACCGTTGCCAATGACTTTCTGTATGTTAGCATGAAATTTCTCATTGCCATTGGCTTCTTAATTTCTAAAATGTTACATTTCTGGTTTACTCGACTTAAAAGGTTTCCAATGATGATTATTTTCTGAAGTCCAATTTCGTAAGAATGATTGTAACTTGTTTCTCTGGTTTGGCTGTCAACATTTTTGCAATGTGTTGCTTAACATATGATTTGATTTTTATGCAGACAGATTTAGTGGAGTGGAGTTGGATGCTTTGCGCTGTTCGATTGAAGCTTTGAATGCAAGGTTGAAAAGGTACACTCATTCTCCACAGGGCAATCAATCGAACCAAGAAAGACAAATATTAGGAAGAAGGAAGACTTATGTCCAAGATGACCGAATCTCCCAGCTCAAATCCTCACTCGAGAGGCTTTCGCTTGTCAATAGCAAGAACACAGAAAAGGTTAAACTTGTTGAATCTGCATTGAGAAACTGTGAAAGCAGAAACTGGTGATACCACATTTCTGTTTGGTTCTGGTGTTTGTCAATTTTGCCTCTGTAGCGAGGAGAATGTTTAATTTGCAGCAAATGAATCTCGAGTGGAATCTCTTACAAGTGAGATGGAGAAAGGCATATTCTCACGTAACGTGATCGTAGCTGGATAGCTGTTACTGTTTGTTGTGGAAAGAACTCTGTATGAATATGTTGGAAGGTTAAAGTAAAAGATGGTAGAGTTGTGACGATGTTGATAACAGGGACATCTACTTCTGTTAGAAAAGTGTTTCTATGAAGGTATGAACTCACGGAAATACCGTCCAATTAGTTTGGTGATAATGTGGCATCATCGGTGATTAAGCTTCCGGTTTTGTAGAACCTCTCTCTCGAGGCATATTTGGAACCAACAAAAAGAAAGAAAATAGATTTTCTCTCTTTTTCAAGCCATCGTGTAAATGAACTACTTACCATGATTGAAAGCTATGATAGTCGTCGTTGCGGTCTGTAATCTGTATTTTTTATGCTTGTTCTACTGAAGATAAAGGGTAGACCTTTCTAAATGTATTTCTTGTATGTTTGTTTGTTGGTGTCTCATTCACAATGTGTCAGGTACGTTTTATTGACTCCCATCAGTCTCTTCTTTTGAGAAGTTGATGAAAAATATTGTAAAACTCATTTTCCTAAAAGCACTAGTTTTATTCTTCATGGTATGTAATCTTGTTGCAGTATTTCCTATAATGGAGTTAAGCAAATTACTCTTGCATTATTATAACAGGGAAAAAGGAATTTTTTTTTTCAATCAAAAAAAAAAAAAAAAAACAACCATTTTGATGAGATGATATATATAAATTACCCTTACATGAACAACATTTGATCAACGTGACAAGGCAAGAATGATATATGCGACTCCATATATAGCGTCCAGTATTGCAATTGACCTAGTGTAAGTTTCTAATTTATGTGGATCACAAGGAAGTTACAAAAGAAGAATCTCAAAAGGAAGGATACGTGGTTGATGATGATGAAACTTTTAGATCCATCGGATAAAAAAAAATAACGAATTTCTCTTGTAAGACATGATTTGGGGTGAATTCTTGGAGCGTAGTTGGTTACACTTGTATTGTAGCTCAGGATATCGATCAGTAAAATATATATATATATATATATATATCATATACACATATATTCTAAACTATATACTCATTTTATTCCATTTATAATTTAAGTTTTTACATATCTAGCTCCTCCTCCTTTCTCTTGACTACTCTCATACTTGTTCTCCTCCTTTCTTTCCTCCTCACTGTTTACATGGTTTGCACACATGCCTGCGCTCCACGTTGATAGGGTATCGCTTCTGTGTCCGAGTGGTCGGAAAGAACACCAACTTGTCTTCTCCGGCAGGAACCCAACTGTCAATCGAACACATAACAATGGAGTTTTTAGGCCTTTTCTTTTCCCCCTTGTGAGTAAGAAATTGGAATATAAAAAAAAAAAAAAAAGCGCGAAATACCTGAAACGAGTGATGAGGTGGTGAAGGAAAACTGAGAGTTCCACTCTTGCGAGCTCATACCCCGGACACCGCCTAGGCCCCCCTCCGAAGGGTGTGAAGAAATTCCCTGACCCTGCTGCTCCTGAGTTGTTCTGTTCCTATATTTTCATACACAAATGTTAGAAAATTAAAATTAGAGAACACATTTTTATTTTTATTTTTATTTTTTAGGTAAGAAGATTTTTGGTTCTAGAGGTACCATACCTGCCATCTCCATGGACTAAAAGTGCGCGCGTCTTTAAAGTGCTCATGATCCAAATGCACAGCCCGGAGGGAGGCGAAAACTTTCCATCCTTTAGGAATAGTGTAGCCTGCAAAATTAGATTGTGAGAAATATAAAATGTTAACCACTACACATTTTTTTTTTTTGGCTGGCACCGGAACTCCCCAGGGAGGGCCCCTTAGGGACCCACACCTCAGCAATAATTTTAATCACGGTAATAAAAGAGGGGGAAGAGACTCCAACCTGGGCCGGGGATAGCCCAAGCCAAGCCCCCTCCCATCTCATCCGAGCCGCGGGGGCAACCACTACACATTTCATATATAGAGTATGATAATAATGATTACAATTTCAGATTATATTTACAAAAAAAAAAAAAAAAAAACATGCATCATATTTACATAAACTTGCATAGTATTGAATGTGAGTGTCAATGTTTGTGTTGACATTAAATGAACTGTTTTTTGTTACCTTTGATATTGACATCGGTCATTGCTCGCCTAAATACTCCGCTAATTATGTTGGCAATTCTAAGAGTTTCATTCACAACCTGCAAAGCAAATGTACAATAGAGATATAATTTCAAAACAAAGCACTAAACAAGATCACTGCTGCTGTTTACGCACACAAAAACACACACTTACACATTGAGTGAAGGGCATGGACTTGTAATCGTTCCATTCCAGAGGCTCCGATTCACCTTTTCTTGCCCTAATCGCATCATGCTCTTCCTGCCAAGAACAAAAATGTGGAGCGTCCACATTTTAGTTTATTCTAGTAAGTATTTAGAATATAAACATAGAATATAATCATATATAAAATTCCATTTCATTGCAAATACAAGTTAGTACACCAAGCTTATATAAGCTGCTTAAATAAATTATTGTATGAAAAAAAAAAATAATAATAATAAAAATTTAAACAAGTAAATGATTTTTATTTTTTCTAGGTTACGATTTTCCACCGAGGCACATAAGACAAATTAATTAACCTAATCTTGCCCATGAAGTAGAATTAGGGTTGCAATTAGTTTATGGGATTATAAAACACTACCCTTTCTAGCGTTTGGAAGAAAAGAAAAGGAAAGAAAAGAAAATGGAAGAAAAAGAGGAGGGAGAAAGTCCACAAGAAAATTAATTAGGGGCCTAGGCCTGATGGGCCTGAGGTGGGCTATGATTAGTAGGAGGCCTAGCTACACCTTGGACATGAGGCCAATAAATACTACTACTTGGAATTAAAAGGCTCTGTACCAATAGGTGGCCCACACCACGTGATTTCTCATAAAGTATCCAACGGCGGAGTACCATCACCCCCTATGGTACTTTTCACACAGGAAAACAACCCTAGCAATCAATGTAAAAGGAGTTCACTTTTTTCCACCATCCGATCTGAGGCCTCCTCGAAATCAGAGCCACACGATTCCCTATGACCTTGCTTGCTATAAACCGTTGGTTCTTTGCATTACCCCCAAAAGTACATAACCCATTCCCAAAAGTACATATATAAATCAACCTTTTATTTATTTATTTATTTTTTTTCCCACTAATTTCAAAACTACTGCAACAAAGAGATTTATTTATAATATTTTCTCCCAAATTTCTAATTATTCCAAAATCATGTTATCTCCATATGATATTAAAAGTCCAAATTTCTAATTATTCCAAAATCGAGAATTGAATTTTTAATATAGAATAGAGGGAATACTTATCAAGCTCATGATCAATATCAAAAAAATGAGAAGTACAGTGACACCATATATAACTCAAAAATAATTTTAAAAAAGAAAAAGAAAAAGAGAAACTATACTATTTTTTATTAAGAGAGAGAGAGAGAGTAATATTTAAATATGGTCAAACCTATGTACAATAGGGAGTTCTGAGAGTTTGGTCGGTTACTGACATGTATGGCGTGCAATTTGTAATTGAAGACAGGGGAGGGGTATCACTTTGTCCTTTTCTTAGGACGAATGTTTTGCCGACTTTGACTTTCTACCATGTACTTCTCCCTACTTTTGACCACCATTTTATACCATTTCACACACACACACACAGAGTTCTCTAGGAATTCCAGAGTTTCAAATTGCTCACTCCAAGAGCATTTCTGTCATTTCCCCTAGGATTTCTAATGTCTTCCCATTACTCACTCCAGGGGCATTTATGTCATTTCACTTTGTGGACGGGTCTTAATAAACCCTACCCTTGCAGTGACTAAACTTTCGATTAATTATTTCCTTGAAGGTAAAAAGTATTATTCAGTACTACTCCGCAATAATTTTTATTAAATTATTAATAATCATTATATTTTTTATTTCTAATTTAATTGACTCGATTAAAGCTTTCAACATGTAGATTTAAGCGAGTGTTTGATTTGGATTGATGAGCTAGGGTGTCTCAATTTAAACTAATTTTGATTAGATATGGTGAATCTCTTGAATTAATCTGTCTAAATCAAAGGTAAACGATCCTTATGTACCAATTAGTGGGTGATTGATTTTCACATTTCACTTAATTAACATAATGATTAGTGTAAGTTGAAAATATCGTAATTCGTAATTCGTAATTCGAAATTATGTTTTCGACTCACCACGTTACAAAATAATACGATATACAATGATTAGACAAAAATGTAGATCTAATAAATAACTCGAAAACAAAATGACACCATATTAAAAAATAAAATAACATTTCTGAAATTCACACGAATGTATTTACCATAACTTTCTTTTTCTCCATTAATTAGTAGACTTTTGGTCCCAAAATTTGCTTGGTTGGGAATTAAGATAATAAGATTGATGAAGTAAAAAGAAAGGGCACATGATGATGATGGATGGTGATGGGAAATGGGTCCCAACAAAAGGGCATTTTGGGCAATACATAAAAAATTAAAAACACAAAATTAAGAAACTGAACCTTGAGCTGAGCCAAAGCCAGAGGTGTCTCAGTGAGGAACTTGACGGCCAAAGTCATGATGGTAGAGGTGGTTTCATAGCCGGCGACGAGCAGAGCCAACAAGAAATCCACTATTTCTTCGTCGGAAAAGCCGCCTCCGCCGCCGTCACCCTCCAGCAATGCCCCCAACATGTCATTCTTTCTCTCTCCTTTCTCACTCTCTGTCCTCCTCTGCCTCACTACCAAGCTTAACGCCTCAGCCACCTTTGTTCTAGCCTTCACCAATAAAATAGTTGAAATTACTAATTGCTCCTTCACTTGAATTGAAGCAAAAGTATACTCCATTTATTTCATATATTCATATATATGATCCACATATATGATCTTCTTGGGTTTTACTAATTTACTAGTACCAAGTGTAGAAAATGTGAAACTTTTTTTTAAGCAAGCTTCCTTCACTTTTATCCAAAAATAAATAAATAAAATATATTGGTTAATTGAAAAAGCCTGATATTTTTAAAAAAATTACCATATAACATGTTTTTTAAAATCAGTTCTCAATAACAAATTTGGACAATAAAAATTTATTTTTAGATAATATAAAAGATACTTTTTTTAATCCTAATTTCTTAAAATTGTAAAACAATTATATTTTTATACAATTAAAGATAGTTTTTTAAATTTTTTAAAAAAATTAACAAGTTTTTATATAATTTTTAATTTTTTTTTTTTTAAAAAAAAAAAAAAAACTGTTATTGAAAAAACGAACCAAATAGTCAAAACAACCGAGCCAAAGAAGAGTATTAATATCATTTCCTTCTATTACTAAATTTTCTTGGAAAACAAACAGAGTGTAAGAGAGAGAATGATGAGATTTTAGAGAGAGAGAGAGAGTACTTGGATGGCTCTGCGGTAGGTGGTGGAGAAGATGGCAAAAGGAATAGTGAAGAAGCCTTCAATGACGAGGACGTACTCTTTCCTAAGGCTCTCTGTCCACTCGCATGGATCGAAGCTCATAAGTTGCTTCACTGATAACTCAAACGTAATCTGCAAACAACCAAACCCAAAATTAATTATTAATAATTAATTAAAAATTAAACCACTAATTAAACAAACCCACGCCCTGTTACTTTCTATAGTTGTCCACATGTTCCAAAAGCATCTATTATATATTCGTATTTATATATAAATATACATTCAAATCTATACATTTATAGCCGCATACTTTTGGGTTCTAACGTGCACTCGCATGTGTATCACTCCATAAGTGGAATTCTGACTCATCCCTTTAAATTCCGTAATACCTTCTTCTTTTTAAAGAAATTTATGTCTAGTTTTAAAAATCAGACCATTTTAATTTTCAAATTAGTTCTTAATTCGAAAAAAGTCCCATAAATCAGAAAAAAGTCCTATAAATCCGGAAAAAGGTTAGACGTACATAATTTTACCCTAAATGACAATAAATGTCCGAATAGGAAATACCCATGACACCTTTTGTTTTATATTTTGAAATTTATATTCTGAATCGTAACCTTAAAATCACAATAGAACAATGGATCCTCTTTTACCGAGGTGTGTGTGTGTGTATATATATATATATATATATATATACTCAAACTTACCAACCGACAAACATCCCTTTCTCATTTCTCTAAACTCTTAACTTATCATTCAATTCACCCATAAATCCTCTGAATTAACAGTAGCCATAAACATAAACATCATGAAAAGAAAAAAGAAAAATCACTGGTTGATAGAATTACAAGAACATCATGATTCATGAAGTTCATGTCCCAACATGCAAACAACGAATCGGTCGGTTCAGACCTGGTTAACTCAGATTCTGACGGTGGTGACAAACTAAGGGACCACTAAAACACTCATTGAGTCAGGACCCATTTATGGATTTCGCGAGTTACGTACCTTCTTGGCTTCCTCCATGAGGAAGACCATGCCGGTCCACGACTCCAAGTTGAGCCGGACCAGCCGGTCTATGTCGACCAGAAAATGGTCTCTGATGATCGAAGAATTGGCGAAGCTCATGGTGAGTGAATGCATTCTTTTATGGAGATTCCCTCTCATCAGGAGCAGAGAATGCCTCCCCAACAGGTTCGAGATCGAACCCGGATAGCTCGACTCGAACAATTTCCCTTCGTTTTGCAGGATGAACCGATTCGTGTCCGGGTCGGCCGAGAAAACGGTCGGTTCGCCGAAGATGTGGGTGGTGAACAGCGTCCCGAACCGGGCGACCCGCTCGTCGATAAACGGTTCTGGGTTCTCGGTCTTGTAGGCCGAGATGAGCTGCAGGGTCTCGCCGACGAACGGGAGGCCGAGGTTTCCCGGCGGCAGGCGGAGTCTACGTCGGGAACGAAGGAGGAAGTAGATGAAAGAGGAAGCCAGAAGTAGAGAGAGAAAGAGAGAGATGGAGTACTCCATAATCACAGTTTTTAGAGAGAGAGAGAGAGAGAGGGAGAGAGGAAGGAGAGGGAGGAAGAGAGGAGGGAGAGAGGACGGAACTTAAAGGGTGAAGGAGGAAGGAGTGGGCATTAATGGAGCACACGGGTGGGTATCTGCAAGGAAATCTAAAAGGGAAGAGAAAAGGATGGAAGCAAATTTAATGTCGGATATTTTTCCGTATCTGACATTTTCCTTCTTTCTCTCTCTCTAGGAAACTCACACACGCACTTTCTCTCTCTAAAAAGGGTTCGTGGCTTTGGGGGGAGAGAGAAAGAGACAGAGAGAGGAGGAGTAATTGCTATTGCTGTTGCTACACACTAAAATGTTGTACAGTTGTAGAGTTAACAAATTTAACTTCTAATTTAATTAGTTAATTATATTGACTAAATATGTTTAAATTAGTTATTAAGATTACTCTACCAAAACTTAATTAAACTAGTTATTAAGATCGCTTAAAATTTAATTAAATTATTTATCAAGGTTACTCTACAAACATTTAATTAACGAATTAAATTAAATGTTTACTTTTAAAATAAGGAGGAGAAGAAAATAGAAAGGGTAGCACGAACGATTTGTTTTTTCCTCAATAATAATAATAATAATAATATTGTCATTTTATTTTATTTTTTCTTTGTTCATTATAATTATAATTATTTTTGGCTTCTATTTATCACAAGGTTGACTTTGGAACTAAATCCTTATATAAATTGAATTTTAGAAGGGTTAAGTAAATGAAATAAAAAATCATTTCTAAGTTTGGAAAAAAATTGAATTTGGAGATCGATATAGAATATGAGTAGAGTTCAGTATACTGCAAAGTTTTCTTTTATTAACTATTTCAAAATACAATGAAATCTGGAAAATTTTTATGAAATTTCTAAAAGATTATATTTTGTAATTTAAAAATCCTTCAAATCCAAATTCACTTTCAAATTACATTACTCTGTTCAAATGTCAATTTTACGATATGAATACCGTCAATTTGTCTACATCCCATTTTTGGTTATATATGGTGAATCCTATCATTCAATATGCCAAAAAGACTTAGAAAAGTAGCACGTTCCTTTTGAAAATTTGGATATTAAATGTAGAATCATTAATCTTTTCGGTTGTCTTTTAAGTGCACTTGATAAGAAGCAATTGTGAAAAAAAAGAATAAAAAAATAAAAATTTAATGATAAACAATTATCAAATTCAATTTATGTGAAACATAATTAAAATTTGGTCTTAAAGATACTACTGAAAATAATGATAAGAAGTAACTAAATGTCTTATTTAATTTGATGACTTTTTAAAATTAATTAAAGGATATATAGATAAATATTAAATATAAATCAATTACTACTAAATTACAACCTTAATTGATCCATCAAATATTTTGTACTCTCAAACCACCAATAAATATTTTAAAGATAGAAATAATTAATGACTCTCATGGGTGCGTTTTCTCTTTCACATCATTAAGTCAACTTTGTCTTTCTGCTTAAATAGGCATTATTCTTTAGTAAATAATGAATATTGTACAAGTTTGGTTCTCGGTCATATATGCGAACAGTGTCAAAAAATAATCGTTGAATTCGTTACACTATCCACATTGAGTAATAGTTTTTCTTTGAAAGAAAAAAAAAATGATTTTAGTTATTTTATATATTTTGTGGTTTCCTCTTTTATTGATAAATTATCATGCTACGTGGGACAGACATTCTCTATGTTTTGTTATTGTCAACTTAGATTTAATTCACTAGGTAATTATTTGTCCTAAAGAAAATGGATGTTTAAATTCATGGTCCAGCTTTGTAGTAGCATGTGAAGTGGTCGACAATAATGATTGTCCCAAATTTAGGGACGTTAGAGACATTTCACAACTTCATGTTTCTCAAAATGCTTATGTGGCTCTCCTTGATTTACCACACGCAGTAAACTTAAATATTTACCAATAAAAGGTAAATTTGACACATGACTGTAAATATAACACACACAATTACATGATACAAAGAACAAGGAGTTCATTAATTAAGGACATTACAAGTGGTCTATTTGGTAGAGTGTTAGTTTTTGGATAGTGTTTTTTCGAGTCTTACACTCTTAATTTGTCGGTAACCAAGAAGAAAAAAAAAATACATTCATCAAATAAAAATAATTGAATATGTGAAGCTCAAATCCTTACAACCAATTTACCGAAATATTATTTTTATTTTTTTAAAATCGATAAAAAGAAAATGATCATGCTATGCCCACCAAGGCTTGCGATGGTGTGATATCTCATAAGAGCATTGTGGAAATTATTTGTCAAAACAAAAACAATAATAATAATTATGCTACAATTTATTGTGTGTTGGATAAAAATAATAATTTATTGTGTGATATCTCATAAGAACATTGTGAAAATTATTTGTCAAATAATAATAATAATAATTGTGTTATAATTTATTTAAAATTACCGTTCAACCCAAATCTATCTAATTTAAGCCACATTCAAATTTATTCCATATGAACTATTTAAACTCTATTTGCAATCGATGGAGTTCTGATTTGATGTTATTTATTTAACACACTCTACTCAACAAAATTTATTTACAAGTGAATTCAAACTCGAACCAACTCGGTTCCTTCATTTATAATCATAAGATTCATAACCACTTTTTTTATTTTTATTTTTTTAACAATGGCATTTCTTATTTGGAGTTCATGTCAAAACCAGTTGGGAGTGCATAATGTGTACTCATTGGTGGCAATATTTTCCACAAAGATGCCCAACTAATCACTAAGAACCTTCCTTTATATTGTGATTAACTCATTATTAAATACAAGATGATGATTACCACAGAAAACTAAGTTAATTTTTGAGTCCCCATAAACTCCCAAATATTTTAAGGAAGACTAAACATTTGGTGACGTGTCACCCAATGATGGAAGTAGAATGGAATAATGGGGGCAGATTTTTATTAGGAGATGATAATATCATATTCATCCACATGGTCCCCAATAAGGGACATTTAGTTCTCCACCCACTAGACAAACCTCAGAATAATGAACCCCTACAAGTATTTTTTTATTTATTAGTTTATAATATAAAAAAGCTTTTCAGGAGAGAATATATATCACACCATGTGTTCAGTGTACCACATCAAACATTCTTAAATCTTATTATTGGTGTTAATCAATATGTCCTTTTTCTTTTCTTTTTTTTTTTTTAAAAAAAAACATATCTATGTGTTCTTTTTTTTTTATTTTAATGCAAATGAAGCTTGTCATGCTCCATTCAACAAAAGGGATTTAATGGAGCATTACATAAGTAGAATCATAGGTAGGTTAGTTGTTTTGAGACAGATTACAACCCATGATTTGTGGAATTTAGACAGAAATCAACTTTACAATATGCTTTCGAAGTTTGATGACAATGTTGTCCAAATTCTTGCATTATATCATCTCACCAATTATTTCTTGACACTCGAACTCATGGAGTTAATTAATAAGCTTCCCACTAGCCTTATCAGAGCCATAATTAAGTAAATGACACGTATATTCAGTGCCTCCTTTTTATTTGAGTCGGATGTACATAACACGTACTTAAATGAGTCAAGTATTCGATCCTTTCTAGTACATGAGAGGTCCTGTATAAAATTCAGTGATTAAAATTACATCATCACTAATGGGTATCATTTATCAATTCAATTTCAATCACTAAATTTTGTGCAGGACTTCTCCTGCGCTGAAGAAAATCCTTGTCCCTCCCTACCACTTCCTCCCGTTCATAAATCCTTCGAATTCGAAGTATGTATTTTTATTTTATAATTAATTAAAGGGCAAAGTGAGAAAAATACCCCCAATGTTTAAATTTTGAGCAAATATCACCCATAAGTATTTATTTATTCTTGGTATACAGATGCATTAAGTTTGAAAAAATAATCAAATAATGGCTTAAGGTCAATGTTTAGTTACAAAACATTTTTAAGATATAAAATTCTAAAAATACTCTTTTCTCTTTCAATAATTCCCTTATATATAAGAAGAAGAAAAAAGAAAAAGAAAAAAAAGAGGGACACTTTAGTTATTTCACATTTAATTATTCTTTTATCTTTTTTTTTTTTATTCAGTTATAGAGGGAAACTTTAGTCTTTTCAACATTCAAATCCTTATTTGCTCAAATATTAAATGTTAGAAATTTTTTAAAACCTATAAAGAGTTATACACTCTTTATGTATTCTATAGGAGTGTTTTTTGCTGGCGATCCTTAATTATTCCATAGTTCTTGGCTGCTGAATTTAGACTCTACTTTAAATAGACCTATTGCTAAGGTCATATATTTTGAATAGCTATTTCACCACACATGAACCACACTACTGATGGTGGAAAAGATTGATTTTTGGGGTCTGTCTTCCCCATCAATTGTATTTGGACTGATCTTTGAACTTATAAGGGTGGGGTTGATGCCAATTTCTGTAGGACACTAACATGGTACAACATGTTTTTCACAATCGGCGACAAAATCTCTCCGAACATGGTGATACTTTAAATTTTTTTTTTTTTTGAAAGTTCAAGCAAACACATAAATACTGATAATATTAACTCAATAGGACTTGAACAATCAATATTCATTTTGAAAATTATAGATCATATCATCTGAACTAATGCTCATTGATAGATTCATGCTCGAATTCACCGCCTTACCTATTGGTTATAACATTCATGTGTACTCTTTCCTTTGTTTGAAGAGCCAAACAACTGAGTTAACTATTGCATGAGATATTGAGAGTGTCCTTGTATTGGACCACAAAGTGGTGTGTCTATATTCACAGTGCAAAATTATATCACTGTCCCAATTATAAAGCAGAAGAGGACCACATAATCTAATGGATTCTTTTACCCAATTATTATTTTGGAGTTAGGGGACCAAAATATTGATTCCAATCATCCAAGTTGACAATTTGAAGGCTATACTACCTTCCGAAAAAAATTTGAAGGGTATACTATCTTTAAATTTTCTTTTTCATGAATTACTTTCTCATCTACCAAACGAAGGATGCGTGCCTCTGCAGATGTATATACAAAAATATGATTGGCAATATAATTCATGTATAATAAAGATGTGCTTTTTTTTGGTTGATTTGGAAATTCAATTTGAATCTTGATGATGAATTATAGGTGCTCTAAGAAGTTCGATGCTATCATCATCGACTATATTATATATATATATATATAGAGAGAGAGATTATTAGCAGGTTAACTCCTTTTGGACCATCCACACCTCTTTGATGGAGAAAATATTTTTTAATTGA